CCCCTACGAACGACATCCATAGAACGCACACGTGTCTCAGATAATTCGTCTTTGATGCTGTGCTTCCATAGTTCGTCGGAAATCGAACTGGCCACTGTCCTTTTTTACCATCAGTCGTTATTCCGTTTGATATGGGAAACGGGCACAAGGAGACCAGGTGTTAGTGAAACCATTATACACAACTTGTCAAAACGCTTTTAGCGTCGAGCTATTTAATCGACCAGAATAGTCAGCTTTCTCCATGGCAGTGATGGATATGCTCACTGGGTCGTCCCTTTGGATGCGCCTTCAAGCACAGAAGTCAAACATGAGATCGGAATACTGAACTTGAATAAAGCAGAGGGACCAGCTAACCTTCCTCCAGCCGCTGTCAAATCGGTGGATCTGCTCTTGTGGATGAGTAACACGAGTTATTAATGGAACTGTAGGAACAGGAAACTGTCCCAACCGACTAGAATCGCTCCGTTAATGTCCAGATATTCAAGAGAGACTCACGTTCGGAATGCGGCAAACAAAGAAGACTCCATCTGGTATGCAACTTCTCAAAGTTACTTGCCTCTAGAATACCTTACAGATTGAATGCCACCAGTGAAAATCAGAGTCGTGAGGAGCAAGCCAAGTTCCGTCGCGGTCGTGGCTGTATCGATCACATCTTCACTTGAGGCCAATTTTTGAGGGGGCCCACCGTTGACGCGTTTTACACGACACCTATGGTGTCGTGAAACGCGGTGGACCGGTGCCTTTACAGCACAAGAGGAGTTTAATTCGATCTCTTACCTTCAGGGTGCGCAGCATTTGCACTCCGGATACTGTTAACGGAGAGCTACAGAGAATCAGCGACGCCCTACGTGAAAATGGTTATCCCGATAAGTTTATCATGAAGCATATGAAAGAACGAAAGCGAAAGCCACCTAAAAGCATTGCTCCCAAGAAAGAGCTATCCATACATTTGTCATTTAAGAGCGATACTGCAGCTGATATCTTATCTCGACGTCTGAAAGATGCTGTTGAGAAAACTTATTTCGCAGCCCGCTTAAGAATTGTTTACCACAACAAGCCATTGCTTGCAAAACCCTTGAAAGACAGTCGGCCATCGTTGACCCGTTCAATGCTCGTTTATCAATAGTCGTGCTCCTGTGGTGCACGATACGTGGGTCGCACAACGAGACGTCTATCCCAGAGGATTCGCGAGCACATCCTGGCGTGGTTTTACAAACGCGAAATGAGATCCTCAGACAGCTCAATCATGTCGCAACTCCTCGAAAGTGGCCATACTGCATCTGAGAATCAATTTAAAGTCATCTACTCACTACCTGAACGCTTCTCGCAAGGGTTCCGAAAGCAAATCGTGTCTATTGCCGAGGCTATTTACATCCACCATCTGAAGCCGGAATAATGTGTACATAAACGATTCATACGGCCGATACTAATACCGTGGCCGACTGACATGGTTACTTAATGTCCTTTTGTGACCTTACCTATTTACTTTAGACTGCAGAAGTTTGTATATTAACGTTCCTTTGGTTCACCTTTCTTGCCATCTGAAGCCGCCATTAGTCATCGAATTTGACCGTTCGGATACCTCAGAAATCAATCCTAGACCGATTTGACGCTTACCCACTACAATCAGTGTTATGTAAACGTTTGGGCCTAAAGAGTTTACCGAAAAGAATTCTTAACCCTGAACTGGTTTCTGATCTTGATTCAACTGTAGGTTAAGTAAACGTGTGCACGAGAAATACCTAAACCTTATCCAAACACTGTACACGCATAGTTCGGGCACTGTGAAGACTTACGGCATGCTGTCGCCGCCTTTCAACATCTCCAGTGGATTAAGACAGGGATGCCCGCTGATACCTTTCCTCTTCAACTTCGCCATCGACGAAGTCATGGAAACTGCCATCACTGAACACGACCTATAAGGTGGGGAGCTGCTTCCTAGTGAGCGACTGCTTGACTTGGAGTATGAGGATAACATTGCCCTCATCTGTGACAGCTCCCAAATGTGCCAAACAGCACTGGACAGATTAGCACTGGCTGTCAGCCGTTCTGGGCTCCATTTTACACTCAAACTGCAAAGTCTTCCTTCATGATTGGCAGGGACCACCTCCTGTGCTGACCCTTGGTAGTGACCAGCTAGATGTCGTTCAAAGACTTAAGTACTTAGGCAGTTACATTAACGCTTGTGGAATAGAAACTGAGGTCACGAACCGTACAGCAAAAGCTCGAGACGCTTTTGCCAATCTCCGCCACTTATGGCGTCGGCGCGACATCACTGTCTCCCTGAATGGTTGAGCGTACAATGCAGCCGTACGTTCAGCCCTACGGCACGGTGTTTGTGATACCTGGCCTATCAGATCGACAGACGTAAGGAGGCTTTTTAAGTTCGACCACCGGTGTCCTCGAAGTTTGGCTCATATCTGATGGGAACACCGCGTGGGAAATGAACGCGTTCGGCGCCTTGTTTATTGCACATGAAGAGGAAGTGACCAGCTCAGCACTAGGCTCCGATGGATGGGCCACGTACTGCGCATGTCAACCCACCGATTCCCGCGACGTGCTTTGCTTACGGGACCGGTGTGTAGATAGAAGGGAGGAGCGGAGGCTAAGTGATGAGTTATTCAAGTGTAATAATAATGACAATAGCAGTAATGTGTCAGCTGTACGCCGTATCGGCGCTTCGCTGCCGTGCGACCACCATTAGTCGCACGCGGGCCGACTATACCGCGAGGACGCCCAAGCCTACGTTGTTTCGAACCCGCGCCGCAAGATTAAGAGACAAGCTCGTTAGCACTACGCTACGGGCCGATTTTTCAAGTGCAATGAAGGCCGTCATTCGAAGTTGGCGTCGGTTGATGTCTGCCGACTGCCAGGCTGAAGTCCGAAGAACGATGAAGACGTTTGTTTGGATACACTTTTTGACACGGTTAGGAGCCGACCTCAGTGGGGTTTGTGAGTTTCTTTGTCCCAGCCTCCCCGCTTAGCGTCGCCTTCCAGCCCCGGTCTCATTCCCTATGCATAATACAACTTTTTTGCGGCACAATAGCCGGCTGCTAGCTCTGCGGGACGATGTCAATCCGTTACCAGTAACTCTGCTGGTGTGGCGTGTTGCGTTGCTTTCCTTTCTCATGTGTTGCGGCACAACAGCGGGGGTGTTCCCCACCTCTATCCAACGTACATCATGATGAGGAGGATGTGTTTGATGCGCAAATATATTGTTTCACTTCACCGCACGCTGGACGATCAGGTAACAATGCTGCAGTGGCTAAAGAGAAATGCTGCGCCCTGAGTTTCCCTTCCGTTTAGCGAGATGAAAATATTTGAGTTGCAGACTCACGATCCTGCTGCCAAAATGCGTTAGGTAAGAGTATAGTTTCGTAGTGGTTACAGATCACGCATTTATCTGCTGTCACGGGACACAAGGTGCAGCATCTCGTACACAGCATTAGAGTATGCTGCACACCGCCGCTAGTGCTATGGACACCAGGCGGTGCAAAGCAAATAGGTACCTTTGGAACGACCAATAACAATTCAATAATACATGGTCAGTTAAAGTTTATGTACATATTACATAGGTGTGCAGCTGTTGCTCTGAAGTGAAGTGCATGACACCTGACACAGGTTCCATTAATGCGTGGCTGTACTCGGCGAGGCACAAAAAACATACCGACGTGCATTAGCGAGCAGACTCGGTAGGCTGTCCGTCACATTCACAGCGCGCCTACATTTGCACTGTTGGAAAACCGACTTGGACCGGGATCAAGAAAACACACTTTGACTAACACCGCTTCCGTTTGCACTCCCTCATTAGTGACAACATATTCCTTTGCATATCGCATTTACGTGTCCCTATGCTGTCGCTTATTGCACCAGAAAATGCGCGGAGAAGACGGCGATTGTCAGTGTTACCGTGGATATAGAGTGACTAAGGCTTGGTGATTTGATCACCGTAGGCTCAGATAAGCAGTAAGAAACAGAGAGCCGCACGTGTGCGGGAGCGTGGGGATAGAGGCGTGAAGCGAGTGAGCAGGCCGCGGCGCGCACAACCTAGTGAGAATCTCATTCTAGTGTTTCAACCACGGCGCTACTCCCTGGCCAACTGTAAGGTGGAAATCAGCGTTTTTGAAGTCTAAGAAGGACGGATTATTTCTATGTTAGTCCTACTCTTGCCTCAGGACGGATAGGAGGCCACAGTGGAAACAAACAGGAAATGCCCAATGAGGGAAAGGGTGCATCAGTGGGATAACGGTGTCGACCGTAGCTGTGGAAAGGCACTGAAAATTTCCAAAGAATGTTAATTTTGCTGGCATCAGATGGATTATTCCCTTTTGATGATTCAGTGTCCCTATTCCCATGTTTCCGAATAAGGAAGACGTTTTTCGCGTTTTAGAGCGCTAAATTCCCAAACGGATATCGTTATTCATTTGCTTCTATGCACGCAATTTATGTCTCAAGGTCACAGCTGCATCAGTCTGTTAATAACACTATTGTTATGCGTACCCGTTTCCGCTCGCTGCCCGCATGTTACAAAGATAGTCGTGAGTTTTAGTTCGTGTATTATTCAACTCTTTAGAGCCACAATCCCAGGAGTACATTACAAAATATTCTGCCCCAACCGTTCTCTACCTAGACTATGCGTATAACCTAGGTTTATAACTTGAAGTAGCATTGGTTAAGTACGATTAGTGCAACCCGATTGTATTTACTGTGGTTCCGCCGTTACAAGCCCAGTGATGGCGGTATACGCAATGCACATCCAAATGCTGCCGAGAGCACCTAAACCTGATTGAGAAACAAAGAAGCAGAACTGGGTTTGCCGCTTCGTCCGGTGGTGAATATGAGTAGCCATATCGCAGCTACGGCGACTTCAGAGGAGAGCAGTGTGGGTTGGGAAGTATTCCATTGATGATGAATTGGCTCGGTAGAAAGAAGCGATTGGGCGGCAAATGAACAAGACTACCGAGATGGAGATACACACGAGGAGAATAAGTTCCACTTACCCCAGGATAGAATTGGAATGGTTTGTCCCCGAAGTTGAATTCCACTGTGGAGTTAAGAAGTGAAACAGCAGGAAAGAAGGCAGTGGTGGTTCCGGGGGTTGCATCGGCGGGAATGCGATAGGCCTCGCCAAAATCCATGCCATTCTTCGACCATTTGATTATATGCTCAACGGTATCAACGAAGCAACCGATGACATCGTCTTTGGTGAAAGCCTGGCAAGAAACAAATCATTATTGGGTAAGGTCTGGTTGTTCCTATACGTTTTGGGCACAATGGGTTATGCGGCAGTGGTTGCATAAACTGAGGAACAAAACAAATACTAGAACGTAACAAACGATGCTGGCATACATATTGGGATAAGTGAAGTTGTGAGGGAAAGACAAGAAAATATGAAGCCCTCGTAATGTCTGATTGCGCAGAAAAACATCGAAAGTCGCGCTGGATCTAAATGGGCTAGTTTAAAAGTTAGAATCCGAAGCTCATCTGATTAGCTAGCAGACTGATCTACACGATAGCTGAGGTTGAAAAACACATCCCAGCTAATATGCTGCAATAGAAAAACTAAGAGAATAATCATCACAGACTACAAAGAATAAAAAGAAGATCATTATGCAGTGGGTACGAGATCATTGTTGGAGGGGGAAGCTAAACGAGAGGAGGAGAACGAATAAGGAAACCCACGAAACAGACGCCAGTGAGGTCGACTCCTAATCATGTCAAGAAGTGCATCCAACAAAACGTGTTCAACGTCCTTTGCACCTCAGCCTTGCAGTCGGTAGACACTAGCTGACGCCAACTTTGAAGTGACGGCTTTCATTACTCTTGGTACAATCATCGGTTGGCCTCCCCACCAATTCATCCATCCACATCACAGTCTCGCCAACAACGCAAGTCGGGAATCAGTGGATTGACATGCGCAGTACGTGGCCCATCCATCGGAGCCTAGTGCTGAGCTGGTCACTTCCTCTTCATGTGCAATAAACAAGGCGCCGAACGCGTTCATTTCCCACGCGGTGTTCCCATCAGATATGAGCCAAACTTCGAGGACACCGGTGGTCGAACTTAACAAGCCTCCTTACGTCTGTCGATCTGATAGGCCAGGTATCACAAACACCGTGCCGTAGGGCTGAACGTACGGCTGCATTGTACGCTCAACCATTCAGGGAGACAGTGATGTCGCGCCGACGCCATAAGTGGCGGAGATTGGCAAAAGCGTCTCGAGCTTTTGCTGTACGGTTCGTGACCTCAGTTTCTATTCCAAAAGCGCTAATGTAACTGCCTAAGCACTTACATCTTTGAACGACATCTAGCTGGCCACTACCAAGGGTCAGCACAGGAGGTGGTCCTTGCTAATCATGAAGGAAGACTTTGCACTTTGTGTGTAAAATGGAGCCCAGAACGGCTGACAGCCAGTGCTAATCTGTCCAGTGCTGTTTGGCACATTTGGGAGCTGTCACAGATGAGGGCAATGTTATCCTCATACTCCAAGTCAAGCAGTCGCTCACTAGGAAGCAGCTCCCCACCTTATAGGTCGTGTTCAGTGATGGCAGTTTCCATGACTTCGTCGATGGCGAAGTTGAAGAGGAAAGGTATCAGCGGGCATCCCTGTCTTAATCCACTGGAGATGTTGAAAGGCGGCGACAGCATGCCGTAAGTCTTCACAATGCCCGAACTATGCGTGTACAGCGCTTGGATAAGGTTTAGGTATTTCAGTTCCTAGTGGCCCACCGGTCCACCGAATCGAAGGCACCTTTGGTGTCGAGAAACACGAGTACATTATGTCGCCAATAAAGCGGTTAAAACGCGATAGTATGTGCACCACGCTAGCCAACATAGTCAACTGATTAGACGGCGATGGTGGCCTGGTGGATATCAATCATATTTAGAGGTGATAGCTTGTCTGCCGAGGTTGACAAATTGAATGTTGCATTTTCTGTGTCGATGTAACGCTAATCGTTAGATTTCAAGGAAATGCTTTCAAAGCTACACAATGCGCGTTTTGGTATATGACTGCAAGTTTGATCAACTCTTGATATGTTAAACTGAGGACCCCAAAAGCCGCTCTGGGCACCTTTGTTGTTATGAGGATAGCACAGGACAACTGATAAAAGTCCTAAAACTTCGCAGGCGTGTTTTTAAGGGCTGCATGATTAACATGCTTGCTCTATAGCCTAAAGGGACTGATAATTGAGTGAACCAGCTGCAGTAAGCATAGACACCGAAAGGACCTGGTTGTAAACCCATCAGCTGGAACGGAGTGCGGATTTTGATGTATATAACTTATTCGATCAGATAATAGAATAGTCGGCAGAACTCGTGTGATGTAAGCTTCACTTAGGTATGCTTCCATTACGCACCCTTGTCCTCGATTTAAGCCACAATTGTGGGATTGGTAATTAAGCAGGTAAGACAATACAGCGATATAACAGAAGGCATTCTCCGTGATCAACTTCCGCAGAGTCTCGAAAATCAAGCTATGGTTGATGCGATCTTTCCCATTGTACTGCGCATAATGCCCATTAGCGAATAGATTACCTCCGTACCTCTATCAATGCAGCGCCTATTGGTAGGTAGGCCGCACCGAGTATATACAAATTCATCTGGCCTGACGAAGCTTTTGTGTCAAAATCGAAACGATTCCAATCAAATAAACTAGCCGATTGTTCACAAACCTCATAGAAACCAAAAAAAGATGATATTTCGCCGGCGGGGAACTAGTTACACATCAGAGGCACATGATATTAGATCGTCGGAATTCGCCGAATAGGGATGAAATCCATCAGATGGAGCACCAACCACCACCCGGCTATCTTGAAAATAGGGAGTCGGCCTTTAGATGCACGGAACGATGACACAATTTCCATCACTAAGACAAATTCGAAGAGGCCAGCAGAATAACCTTCGCCTGCATACACATTCGGTCGCTGTGGTGAGCTGCCAAGTAGGCATCACATATGTCATCCAATTGTCTGTAAAGGGTTCGACAAGTTGATAAGGCAGCTACATAACGCAATGAAGATAAAAGCTGGGTGGTACACTACAGGATAGGGAAAGTGATACCTCTAGTGTGATTGTGAATGGACCTCGGCTGTCCTGCAAATACTTAGAAGCAGAGAGAAGATAACTCTTGGAGGGCGAGTGGCTCTAATATAGATGTCACAGACGCCTGTAGAGCTTTAAGTTAAAACCATGACATAAGACCGCTAATCACGCATTCTTGCATAGATATGTGGAGGTTATTGGATGAACGAAAACGCATACCAATAAGGTACGCTATAATTGGGACCGTGGAGTGTTGCGAACGGTTTTAAATCTTTCGATAAGCCTCAGAGCAACATCCCGAGGTGCGAAACCACACAGAGCACTCACGGCTTAGCATGAACATGCCACCCTCATACCAGAATCGTGTGGGGCCCCTAGGATTATTACGAGTAATAAGTAATTGGTTGACACGCAAAAAATGATCCCAAAACCCAGAAGCACGTTGGCAGTGCTCAAAAGACATCTTTAACAAAGAGGTGTGGCGCAACGATTCAGGTTAATGCCTACTGTCAGGGTGAATATCGAAGTCGCTTCAAGAGGTTGACGAACTGGGTAGTTGTTAACCGGAACCACACTACTATCGAGAGTGTGCAGGTCACGTTGCAGTGATATAGGCCTGGTGATTACCACTTCGTTTGCTCGCCACTTGAACAACAATCCTGAGGCCAGCAAAGAAGATGATGAAGAGAGCGCAGACATAGGTATTCAGCCCTATGAACCCGGATCGATATGAGTTGGCGCGAGTCACTGGCTGTTGAGTGAAGGGAGCAGTGCATTGGTGAAAACCTGCCTGAGGCAGCGTGTGAATAAATAAAGCAGATGCGGGTGCACATGCTACCGGTGAGTCCATTTGTGTTGCTGTTGGCGACCAAAGGTGTCACGAGGTGAACGCCGCCAATGGCTCAGTAGCCAAAAGGGAAGCTCGTTAAAGAAGTAGGGAATAATACGGTGTAAAAGAGATTAAAAAATAAGGGAGAAAGCATAAGCATTTGTCTGGTATGATTTAAGTGTGGATCTGAGCGCGAATTTAGCGCACAGAGTGCACTCTCATGTAGTAGAGAGCACGGAAAAGACCACCTGTGGTCTTGTCAAAAGTTGGCAATCGAACATGCACCACAGTCGCTCGGATACCAAGACGATGGGAGAGTGAGTTAAAAAGTGTGCAGAGGAGAACTTCATGAAGAGATTAGATGTACAACAAGTGCGAAAGTAGTGACCCCACGACATGAAGATCGTCGACTGAGCCGAAGGTGCTGCAATCTGTGACAACTACATTAGTGACGAATTTCAAGAGGAAGCTCAACAGAGCTCAAACAGCCCGCAGAATAGTGGGTGGGAGCTATCAGCAAGACCACCCGATATGAGAACAAGCACGAGGCATAAGGAATGAAGCGCAGAGAACTGGGGCACAGTTGATCATTGAGAGATCGACGGTGTCGCACATTAGCAACACCAGAACACAGTATCCGTTTCGTCGCCATATACACCCTTCAGATGGCGATAGCTTAAGCGGAGAATGGAACTTGTGGGCCCAGAGCAAACTGGTTGACGTCTTCACCAGCAGGCTCTACGAAAACGAAAAAGACTGGATATATTTATCCAGTTCAAACAATCACAAGCAATTGAGGCATATCGTAAACCATCGTTGAAAAGTATCTATTGGAAACAGTCTAGAGAGTAAACAGTGGGATATTCAAACGCCGAAAATCATACAAAGCGATAACTATAATAGACACGAATGAGGAAACATATACTTTTGTCCTCTCCGTAAGCTAATTTTAGGAGTAGTAGTCTCGAGTAACATCCCAATGGCCCCGGGTTCGATGTCTGCTTCCTCTAGCTGATGAGGTCAAAGATGTTCGAAAAGCGTCATGGAATGGAGTGCTTTGGGTGGGTAACAATTTCAAAGTGCTTCAGCTGCGGTCTTAAGGATTGGATTGACCAATCTACACCTCAGTGGGAATAGCGGTCTACCTTGAGATTGCGCGTCGCAATCCATTCACACACAACGAGTACTGCAAAATGACCCTGCAATCATTTGTATGCAATCTTGCTGCCACTAACAATGGCGGTACTAATCGCATGTGCCAAAGTGAAGTTGAACACAGCCTTGCAACTCAGCCCGGTTTTTGTCAGTTGCATGCAGAGGTCACCGGCATTCTTCGTTGTTAGACCCTTAGTCAGAAAGACACATGAAACATACGATGGATGGATGAGAAGTCGGGAATATTTTGCTGTGTCTGTCACTGAGCATTAGGCTGGCACTCAGTGCCGTCCTGTGCGAGCAAACGGAACGCAATGTAGTAGAGGCTCGTATGACATGCGCAGGAAGTGAATGACCTATTTCGGTCGACACAACAAGCTTGCTGAAGGACAAACTTTCAAGTCCCAAGAAAAGGCATCTGAATTCACCGCTGCGAAAACAGCGTTGTCGAAACACACGCGGACAATTAGCTTTAGACACCCATCAGTGAAGACCGAAAACCAGCGTGTCATTCAAAAGAACCGGTCAGAGATTAGCTCCTACATAATAAATCGCACGAACGGGGGCGTTGCAAACTATTACATAATGACGAAGTCACAGAGAACCGAGATTGACAAATGCAGATAAGACTCCGGTCAGAAGAACCACTACTTCAAAAATGTCAAATGTAGAAACATAGCTAAGCAGATAAAACTGTTCAGCCATTCCGACAGTGTACATTCATGCAAAAGTACAGGAAAAGGCAAGTGGCAGTTTCAAGGTCGCTTTTTCGATTCCAGAAAGCAAGGGACACATCAAGGATGCTTCAATCGTTAAAATGTACGTACTGAGTTGCATATCCTTGGGGTCGCTATTGATCGAGGTCAGGTCATCATCACAGACTAAGTAGACCGCATAATCACCCGGAGAAAACTCAAGCCAGAATTCTGGAGGCTATTTAGATCTTTCAATATGACATCCTTACTCGCAAAATCAAAGAACGAGGATATGGTGCATGCATACTTTACCCCAATAACGGCAGCAAAAGTGGAGGAGAGCTAGTTGAAACCTCCCATCCTGTATGGAAAAAGGAGGTAGAACATTTTCTGACAAACAATGCCATAAACTAAACCCAGTCCGTTACAGTACAGACATCTCGAGAAACAGTGAGGGCACAACGTCTTGGAGATACCCGTGTCTAAGAAGTTGATAGAGTTTGGTCCACACAGCTACAAGCAAGACGGAGATAAATTAGATCTATGAATTGGAAGCAGGCTGTGGATCTAGATGGATCTCAGTGGTCAGGGACGACAGATGTTAGACCAGGGAGCAAAATACAGTAAGAATGTCATTCCAGAGAATAAGAATGATGACAGCTCGTAATGAGAATTAGTTAGACGCATCTAGCCTCCGATCAGAGACATTAGTGAGCCATGAATTAATTGAGGACGCGGCAAGTGAAGTGGCAACACAAAGCCCTACTAGTGCTTTGGATGTAAACACAAGGTTGTCAGATAAGGTAAAGTTGTAAAAATGTCTTGTGGTGAGAACAAAACTGTGTAACTGTAAAGCAACCTAGCATATGACGAGGGTGGGTTTTCATAAGCCTAACACAATTGGATACGGCGATTGGCGTGAATAAAGAAAACACGTAGGCATACGATGAGGCAGTGTGACAACAGGGGATGACGCTTAGAAACGAAATCAGGTAAGCAAGTATGTCCACTGAGAGGACAAAGATTTGAAAAGCCAGATCGACCGGAGCAGGAAGTGAACCCAAAACGCCACGTCGTCTTCATGAAAGCAAAGACGAGTAAAGCACATTGATGATATCCACGGCATTCGCAACGAGAGCTGAGGTATAAAAAACCACAGTTTACTGCTCTAGTGATGGACAAAGACGGGTGTTGTCACGCCACCTTAAAGTGAACACATTCAGACAGTAAACAATTGGTGAAATGGTGTGCGGCATTAGTAGCAAGATGCAGGTGAGAATAGACAGAAGATGCAATTGAAGCGAGAAACCAGCAGATATAGTCAGTTTGCTTTGTTGTACAGGCACCCTGGGGAGTGCATTGTGCACGGCTTACCTCACCGTAATTCTCAATCTCGTCTCGATGCACACGTTTGCCTTGTTGGCCGTTTAGGCCAAACCCTTCGTTATCAGCGCCATAACCGTAGCCAAAACGATCGGACCCGAGGTTCAGGCTTCCTTCTTCGGTGGACCAGCCGACGCGGTACAATCCCATGGACTCGAGCGGGACAACTTCGAAGTAGAAGCGACCAGATCCACGAACACCCTATAGAACAAAATGAAACGTGAATCAGGATGTTAAAAAGAAGGAACCATAAACAAAGCGCACGCGGCTTGGTCATCAGTGCCGAAGGAGGCCAGATTCACTTACTTGATTCGCACGACACCCCTGCCACCCGCGTCCGAGGTGCGCCTGAGCCATGCTGCCATCCGGTGAGACGTCCAGACCAACCGATGCGTCGTATGGGTTTAACCGCCAGCCGGAATTGCGGTTAGGCACCTCGCTGTCATCTGGTGCTTGGGCCACGGGTACGAAGGGGCCGCCAGGATGAAATTCCAAACTTTGATCACCAAAATTGAAAAGAATGCGCGAGTCCTTCAGGCTAGCGGCTGAAGTAGGAAAGAAAATTAGATAGTATGTGAATACAGATATATTGTTTACCAAGTCATTAGTTAGAACAACGGTAAGTGAATAGCAAGCCGAAAAAAATATCCGTCAACATGGAAGGCAGACTGCAGCATGATCAAGCATCAGCAAGGATAGTGGCCACACTACATAGGCCATAAGGGAGAACACAAGGTAGCAAAACCATGCCAGTGTAGTGAACGCGCACAGACACACGGCATTTGTTACGTCAGTAAAAGCAGTGTGGTGAAATTAGTTTTTGCGAAATCCAACTGCACTAGAGCACGTGAATCATTAGCCGAACATCAAACAAGAGCAAAGGCTAGAGTAAAAGCGGCGGAAAATTGACCGCACGTGTTGAGTGATATTGCCGTTGGATTCATGTGCGCAACTGTTATGTGTGTCCGGATGCCCACTGAAAGGTCAGCGTTTGACGGATGTGGCGATTCGAATCAGTTTGAGTGCGCGCGTGCTGCACATTGGCAGTTCACCGTGGTTTGGTGATATGCTTGATAGGGCACTCGAGATCGTACTCGCCTGTTGTCTTCATTGCACTGTTGTTCCATTTAATTGCTCCTGAGGAATATCTTAAAACATTGCCTCATGGTTTCCAGTGCGTTTGCTGATTGAGCGCACTTGCAGAAATTTACCCATCCATGTATGTGGTTTTTCTTTGCGCACAGTCACTGCACAGTGCGAGCAGCACAGGAGGCGTGACATGAGATTGGGTGCCACCGAGTTAAATGTCTAAAGCTGCTGAGTGTAAGGACTCATCGGTTTGACGGAGGAAGACAGCGTTGTCAAATAAACTGCAATGCACTATGTGCGACCATGACATTTGCTGAAAAGCACTGCTGTAACTGTGAACCGGGTAACGGGTTATTGACACTGCGTGTTCTGCTCTGTATGCAATTACATTACGCTAGTGGGGTTTGCACACCGCGGACTGGCGCATCGCCTATGCGGGGTTGGTAGAAATGTGAGTCCGTACGCCACAATTACACATCCGCCCCGTGCTTGGTAAAGGTACTATGCTTGGGTTGTGTTTGACCCTGGGTATTAACTATCCACTGCTTGTTCTCTGATTGGCTCATCGGATGACTCCGATAAGCGCTCGTCTGTTTGAAAAGCTGGTCTGAACGGAGATGATGAACTTTGTTGATTCTATTGACCTGATCAATAATTCGCATCATGATTTTCTCAATAAGCGATCTTCCACCACCTGTCAACTACATTACCTTAATCATATTCCATAATCATCCGATTCCGGCTATGCAGCAGTAATCTTGTTTCTTGATACGCACCAAGCGTTCGACCGAGCACCGCACAAGCGACTGTTACAAAAGTTGGAAGAACTTTGGGATTCGGGACCCAATACTAGGTGGGCTATCGTCATACCTGAGTGATTGTCATCAGGTAGTCACTTTAGGTGATTATCTCTCTGCCCCACGCTCAGTCACCAGTGGAGTGATTCAAGGGAGGGTGCTCAGTCCCTTACTGTTTTTGCTCTACCTCAATGACATCACCACATCTGTAAAACATGGTACACACTTTTTATTTGCTGACGAAATCAAACTAGTCCATAAGTTTCGGCTTGACGAGCTTCACGGGACATTACTGCATATTCAAGATGATTTACATTCCCTTGAGTCATGGTGCTGCACATGGGTGATGAAGCTCTCGGCTAAGAAATCAAGCATCATGTCTTACGGCTGCTGCATCACCGAAGGATCTATCACCCTAAACAATGAATGCGTCCCTACACAGTTGTCCACGCGAGATCTTGGCATTAGCTACTCATCTACTTTCAATTTCTCCGAAGAGGCCCAATACCAAGTAGCACGTGCCAGACAGTCTGTGTTCAATATAGCAAACAAAATACACACAACTCGTACTAGAGTTGAGTTTTGCAAGCTACTCACTTGCCCTATCCTTGAATACTGCAGCATAATATACGGAAATATGAGAAAGAGTGACAGAATTGCTGTGGAGCTCCTGCAGAGGTCATTTACTAAACATCTGATTGGTAAACACTCTGCTGTGAGTTATCAAGAACGTCGCAATGAACTTCATCTCGAACCACTTTGGATTCGACGATTGAAGCACAACTTGTTGCTGCTTTTCAACATGTTACACGAAAAGACCTATTCCAACCTGCCTACACTCAATTTACAACATTGTTCAACTCGAGCGCTTGACAACAAAGATTTTGCATTGCATATACCGAAGGCTAAAACGAACGTCCGCGCTAATTTCTTCCTGGTCTGATACAGCTATCTGTGGAATAAACTACCAATAACACTCAGGTCAGGTGACAATGTGGCAACATTTCGTAGCAGATCCGCCAATTACCTTGGTCTAACTACCCTAAGCTCTATATTCACATGGGGAAAATCCCTCGATGAGCTATTCCAAGAGGGGCCCAAAACATATAAACACCATGTTTTCATAACTAGGCTTTGGCCTCAACCAACCGCCAGAATTTTAATACATGAAACGCATATCCCAATACTCCATCTATGCATGTCACCCATGCAAGAGCATGGATTCTTCTGTACAAATTGATCTGTGCCGCTATAGACACGGGTTGCCACCCTTCAGCTTCCAAGTTCATCAGCTGCTAAATGTAAGACTTCCTTCGTCTCTTGCTTTCAAACGTATTCACTGGGTCGGGTATAGCATGTAGCTTTTTCATAGTAAGGAGGTAACCCTCCAGGCACCGAGCTACTGTGCTGACGCTCACCTCTACATTGAGCTACACTTTCAATAGGAAACGAAGACACTCTAAGGTTATGGTAGGTTCCGCTTCTACCCATTACACCAGATTATCCACGTGAATGTCAGTGAGTGATTTTCTACGTGCCCCACAACGTTTTCCTTTTGGTTCGTTAGACTCTAACGTTTTAATGCAACTCCGGCAAGTCTTCAGGTTGACATATAACATGGATGCAATCTGCTTCTAGTCATCGCCTTCTTCATAGGTGTTCAATACTCTTGCCTTAAACTCCACCGGATGGGGCATGCGTTAGCCTCCCCTTGACATTAGGCCTAGAGTGAACTAAACGATGTTAAGTTGCACCGTATGATTACCTACCTGCAGTATCCGCGATGTGCCGAGGTGCAACAAGTTACGGAGTAAGATGGAGACGGGTTCAGAGACGTATAGGCAAGCCAACGTTGTGAGCGTCAACCATACTGGGAACAGCATAGATAGGGGAGCTCGTATTGGCCAACCTAAGTGCACCAACAGAGCAGAACGGTGATGGATGGGCCACGGCTAGAGCGCAGGCGGCCTTCGTTGCAAAGTTAGGGCATTCAGCGACGCAAACGCGGGACAATGGGGCATCCAGTAGCAAAGACAGGAGATTCCGTGGCACTCCCTTCAGGGCAGACAATTGTTGCTGACTTTGTGTGTCGAACGAGGCTGAACACCTCCCGAAGCGTGGTCGAGGTGTACGGCACGCCACGGTGCCGCAGGTACGTCTGGGTTAGGGAGTCATTTGATACCCCATATATAGGTGTCTGCAATGGCAGGTGAACTGGGAGACACTAAAGCCTGGTGCGAATACAGACGCATAATCCAAATTGATTGACGGTCTTGAACTGAGGTGCGCCATGTGTGGCCTACAGCAACAGGGTCAATTTGGGTCCACGTCATCGAGGGGTTCGGTGGGCACATGTGACACGATGTGAACGTTAGTGCTTGAAAGCAGTGCTGCCAATATGCGCATTGAGGTCAGCACATAGTTGTATGAATCGAACGCCACTGTCTGTTCGGCGTGCATGCATACCGAAACAGTCTTCCAGGTGTTTGTCAGAGTCCGAAAGGCGACCCACTAAGACGTCAAGGTAACCAGCAACACTCACAGTCTCAGTAGTTCCTGCTGAAGATAGAAGTGGTTCTTCATGCCCTCCGAAGGGCAGTCACTGAGAGCATTAACAGAAGCATTGAAAATGCACGATATCCTCAGACGGTTGTTATTTACCGCAACAGAGTTTCGAAGTCGAACAGCACACATACGGCTGTTCACTGGCATCCAGTCGAGTAGATTGCATTCTGTATGATTGCTGAGGGCTATTTACTTCGTAGCGTCAGAGGCACCTACAGTGTAATCGTTGCCAGCAGATTCGGAACCAGGAAGCAGAAGATTCGTCACGACGCGGTTATCTTGTATATGTGTTTCGGAGACAAGCACACACCGAGGGAGCGGATAGCGAGAGTTAGTGCTGCTGTTGGCCGATCTGAAAAACTGCGTGGACGTCAAATGAACCATTGAGAAATACGAATCTCGGTTGGATAGCTTCAGTTACGAGGTCAGTGACAGTCCCTTGCACAATAAACGGGCGAGAAGAGAGTGGTACGAGTTGAGGAGAATAAATGTTGCCGACCGGGTCGAGAGGGCAGATTATACTCTCCGGCAGCCCATTCCGGAAGGGGGTTGTTGGTCGAGGTGCCCTACCCCTAACCTTTCACTCAACAGTCCGACCCACAACGCAGTCAGGTCTATGGAGGTTCACTTGAGTGGATCCACCCAGAACCTTTGGCTCAACAGTTTGACCCACAATGTAGTTGGGAACTAGTCCAACTAGAGAGCGTAAGGCCTGTCAGATACAGCCTTTGAGGATCTAGGGCAGTTCATGTGTGACCACAGCCAACCGCATGTGGGAATTGGCGGGTTTGCACCTATTTCACCAGGAGTTGCTTGGATTGAAACGGGAGGTAGTAAACCACTACGCACCGCGTGATGCACTCTCACGGTCAGAGACAATGAGCGGCACTCGTGCTCTACGCCAATCGAGCTGTGAGGTACTCTAAAACCTGTTGTCTCCAGTGGATGTTCCAAGGGGAGAGAACCATGGACCTCAACCAACCCACGAAAAGGATTGTTAGACTGTTAGTCTGAGCCCTAGCCATTGACCCGTTTGGTATGAGAAGTCCTGATGGCACCTAGAAGGTGTCACCGAGGGAAGCTCAATAGATCACGAACGTACGCAAACCATCGCATCCAGATAAAATCCAGTCGCGTCGCGATGGGATTTGTTTATCCGCTACGTCGCTGTTGTACTGTGTCGTATCAGTCTGAGACTTGCCTACGCTTACGAGAACAGTTTCCACTTTTGTGACATACTACGATGTATTGATAATAACAACGCTTATTTCTCAAAAAATTCACAATCCGTTCGACCGTTGTTCATCTGAAGGAGTCAATTCTCCTACGTAAGGTGACTATCCGCGTGTAAGATACTCTGCATACGATACCACAGCTTCTATCCCTGTAGGCTCGAAATGCAGACCCTACAGTCCTCTATCGTTGAACGTGACCTGCGTCACTGGTTCGGGATAACGGGTTGTTCTAAGCAAACAGAATTGGCATTACAAGCTGGAGACCACCACGTAGAACAAGCAATTCAAGCAAGGCAATCAAAACTGAAGCACGCTGTCACCGATCTGAAGCAGACTCAACGTCGGGTTTTCAAGTGCATCATTGGAACGCATAATTTGCCATATGAAAAGAGGCGGAAACACGGGTATTGCTGATTAGCTGACAATCTGCTAATGATTACATTGTTCTGAGTTAACCAAATCATGTGTGCCGCTATTTACTGCAGGTTAGCAATAAACCCTAACTGAGATCATTCCTTGAAACTGGCATAATAGTGGAACCGTCCCGAGTGTTGCGGAATTCATTTTTCTGTTTGTGTGTGTCGCATCTGGTAAAACACCACATTCGGTCTGTTTGGCAACAATACGAATAATGTGTGTGAACGGTTGGAGGAACCACTCAGGCACTTACATGTCTTAGCAACCGCAATGGGAATCATGACGCAACGATATGAAATCTTCCTCAGCAGCACGCTCAGTCGAACAATGGCATAACAAGGGCAATAGGCGAGTGAAACCTCGGAGAGGATGCCAATGAGCACTGCGCGCGCACTCATCCTGATGCGAATCGCTACATCCATCAAAAGCGGACCTTTCAACATTGCGCTCAGTGAGCATGCGGCACCCTGAAACACACCGCGGTCCACGCGCTCTTCACGCCCATCCGGTGTCACTAACCCAATTTCCATGCCAGCCCATCATCGACAACGGTATGTGTGAGCGACTTCATGTCATTATTCCCAAGTGCCAATTCATTCGCACTCATTCACGTGGGTGCCTCGCAGTATACGGACAGCTCAGCGATGAAATGGGCGGACACACCGCGCAATCATATTCCACGTAGAAATGGAAATGCCTGAAAGATTACGTGCCAACCACCATGATTACTCGTGGCCACTGAGCCCAGGTGGAACCACATGAGTTTTGCGAGTATACCCTTCAGCATGTGTGTAGCTTCAGTGTAGCTAACCATGCCTGAATAGGAGTGTCAAGCGCGACTAGGTACACACCAAATCGTACGCGACCTGCGCCACACCCAAGCCTTCTCTGGTAACTCATGTCGTAAACGCATCTGACATGTTATTGATTGATTTGGGATTGGTCACTTAACGAGGGGCCCACTTCGGTGTGTTCGCGCCAGGTGGGTGATATTTGTTTGCCTTAAGGACCATGCTGAAAGATGTATGGACGAAACTTATTTCCTTAAGGCTGAGTTTGAAAGCGCTATGTACGCAATTAACTGAGAAAAGGTGTAGTTCAACCAATTAGCAGTGACCAGGGCGATGAAGCGAGACAAATGCACTTTGAGTGTTCACCATGGCTAAATTAGATGGGTTATTATGGAGGATTGTCAGGAAAAGGTGACGTCAGATAGAAAGCTAAATGAAGGTAATGGGCGGACGACGAGGGCGTCGTTGGCTCACCGAAGGACGTGGTAGAGTCACCTCTAATGACGGATTTAGGACCGCACCCATTCTGACGTCTTCACCCCCTGACTCTCATGACTATACGGGAATCTATCCAACCAGATACACAGAATAAGTGGAGCGCTTCATGGTTGTCTTAAGTCCCTACTTCCCCTCAACTTGTGATCGCAACCACTGAATGGTACGGTCTTGTTCTGGAGCAAAGGTTTGGTTGGATGACCGGCTAATCGATTAAGAATAGACGAACGATGCGTTTTCGGCCAAACAGTGTGACTCACGTTTCGGCTTGCACTTCACATCTTCAAAATGTAGAGTGCTCCATCGGCTTTCACTATCATCGAAGGGCTGGGGATGTGTAACATTGCATTGTGGTCCGTATGACCACATAGCCCAGAAGCGATCAATTTCTACTGAGGACATCAGGGAATTGTTTATCCATGAACACCGGTGCCGAGTGAACGGTGTTACAGTGGCCAGTTGGCATTCGTCAACAACCTCGGCTGTTGTCGCACTGGACCATTCACTGAAATGTTTACATTGGCTAGATCACGTTTATCGAATACCTGTCGACCGACAACCCCAGAGAGCATTATTTGCCAACGCTGTAGTGTGTGGTTGAGTGAAAGCGAGATGAAAAAATCGACGGAGGAGTTTGATCGAATTGGGGCATCTGGCACAAATGGGACTGCCCGAGAAACCAATAGCACTCTTGCGTTCAGTTTCATGTAGCTAACTTCACTGCACCATGCAAAGGTTATACGACATCTATTCTTTCTACTTTGGGTTGTTGTTCAAATGAATACTTGTGCTAAACTCTTAGCTGGAGATTCCCCGGCTGCTAATGATTGTTATGAGTGAAGCGGTGTGGCTCAGTGTGGTCGGGTCCGCTGCACTGAGGTACTCGAAGTAAAGTTGAACAGTGACAGATGCGTTGCACAGTCAATGCTTTGCGAGTTAACGTGAAAAGCAAAAGTTCAAATTTTAGAAAACATGGTGCGTAAGCCAGGGGTACTCTGGTTGTTTGATTGAAATGTACGCTAATCTGAGTAAATCATTTTGAGGCTACATAGGTTGGTTAGACCACTGAAGCCACGACGCCTCGTATTGGGACAAATAAACTGCACACAAGTTGGGAAGTGTTAGAGTACAAATCGGTTTTGTGCAACTTTGCCTTGTGGTGTCGTTTCGATTTTGACAAAAGAACTCCGCCTACCTAGAGATACCTGTTAAAGAAAAACAAGCCAGCGGCATGAACCGCAATGTTTTCTAGTGTGTGTGGTCTCTCCGGGCTTATTGAGTAGTGTCATGCGGTGTAGCTGTTCAGCCTGTAAACCATGATTTAGGCACCGAAATGCGGTGGATCGGGCAGCCCTGAGGCATCTTACGGATTGTGATAAGCTCAACGCAAATACGCAATAAATAAAATTGTCAAAAGAAATGGTTAGAGATTAGGAAGCGGGTGCAACAGTGCCAACAATTTCGTGGCCGTGTCAAAACTACTAATCCAGAGGACTCCATACGGGGAGAAAAAAAGGAATAACTCGACTCAGTCCTTCGGTTTTATTAAATTCTCTCGCAACATCACCCATTGCTAACCTCGGGATTTCATATGTATGAGCACAGTACACACCAAGGCAGTTGGCTTGTAGGCACGAGGAGCACGTGACCGAAAAAGAATCGAATTCAACAGGCACCCCAATGAAGCATCGGAGGGCCTGCTGTCGAACACCAAATGACGGACTTAATTTGGTTCCCCCACCTGATGTGATCAATACTTCGCAGCCATTTGTTCAAACACTGTCAGTCTCCTAACATCCAGGGTTCCGACAGACAGTAAGTAATACCGTTACGTTGAGGTTTCTGAATCGATAATAAGCAATGAAGAGCCATACAAGCTCTCGCAGTGCATGCAGCAAGCTCTTTGGCGATGTGACTAGCGCACACAGTACAGCTAACTAGGTAAGTAAACCAATCGACCGATTCGAGAAGCTGTTCGGTGATAGTGGGGAATGGTGATGCGCCGATCTAGTCCTGTGACTGCGCAGTGCGCTTTTGAGATGTGAAGTATATGCCGAAAGGTACAGCGCTACGCGCCCATCTGTTCAGTATCGATTGCATAGCAGCTGCATCCGACTCAAAGCGAGCTACAGTGGCAAATAAAGTGTGATGCAAGGAGTTTGCAACACTGCTTGGACAAAGCTGACTAATAATAATAATAAAATAATAAAATCAATAATAATAATGTATATTTCTCGTGATACGGGGAAACCGAGCCCACAAAGGGACGGATCATATTAAGAGGCAAACATGAAGATTAATGAAAGGAAATCCCCGAAAGAACCGAAGTAAAGTATATCGTTCTTTAGTATGGACGTTGCGGACGTCAGTTGTATGGTAAACTCGGGTTAAAAGTGGATAAAAAACCTCAAACTTGTTGGTTACGAGTATTAATTGCTCATATATGAACCATTTCGAAAAAGAAAGCGCCACATTAAGGGGAAAATTGGGCGGAAAGTGAAAACAAGCAGACAGACAATCATCACCTGGGAAGAAGGATTCGCCTCTGAGCTGATCGGGAATGGTGAAGGCTCGCTGGAATACTTTGCCGTTGCAAGACCAAGTCACCGATCCTTTATCCAAATCCAGCAAACATCCTAAAACATCCCCTTGGTGGACGGAAACTCCATAGTCGTGACCCATTGCTCGATGCATCACGCGTCCAGTCCCCTTGGCGCCAGCGGCTCCAACTAGATCGGCACCAAAACCGAATCCGTAGTTGTCCACACCGAGGTCCAAGCTGGCGTCGTTCGTCGACCATCCGACACGGACAAGACCATCTTCCAAGCAAGCTGCCTCGTAATAGTAAGAACCGGGAGCTTTCACACCCTTGTTGGATCGACAACCCTGTTAAATAGAGAGAGCGCAACAATATACCGTAAGAAATAAACATCCAAGGGATGGTAGTGGGACGTGGATAGAAAGAAAGAAAACGCAGATCGGACACACATAGGAAACATGAAAAGAAGGAGTTGTGCGGACTCAGAAGAGTGGACGGAAATTCGTGTGGAGCAGCAACCCAAACATCAGATCAAGCCGAGCGATAATATCATCCGTATCGCACATATGCCTTTTTACCTCCTACAAAGCGGCAAGCAATGGGGCCGTTAGAAATAGTAGAGAAAATCGCAAGGATGGTGGGTATTTGGTGACAAACCTGCCAGCCAGAGCCGCGCTGAGCAGCCACATCCAGTCCGCGAGAATCGATACCCAGGCCCTGTGTTCGGTCGGCGGGAGAGATGCGCCAGTGCTCAGCCTCAAAAGTGGGCCTGGACAGTACGATAGGCGCTGTGCTGGGAGCGGCGGAAGAAGTGGGAGCAGCTGTGCCACTGGGGAGATGGCGTTGCGCTCCTTGGGGCCCTGACGCCGGCAGACCATTCGCCATTTGCTGGCCATCCTGGTAAAGTGGTTGCATCGCGTCCCCCACATACATCGCAGGCTGGTATTGATACTGACTAGCAATAGCGCCATTAATATGGACATCTAATCGGGCGAAAAGAGAGCAAAAATCGGAAAGATGAGAGAACTTTTCAAACAGACGCAGATAAGTATAGCTGTTTAGAAAGAATACAGGGCAGGGGCCTGGGGAGCCGAGTGACCTGTGAAGGTATCTAAGTTTGACTGATGGGCCCCAATCGAAAGAAGGAGAGGAGGAGGCGCAGAGCGCTCGGGGATGGCAACTGGAGAAAAAACGTAGATCGGGAAATCGAAACAAGCACAGCAAAAGGAAAAGTTAATGTAATGGAAGCAGGAATGGCTAAACAGTGCGCGCAAATGAGACAGTTGCCAAACTCCAAATAGTGTGTGGGGTAATGTTGATTTGAGCAGCTTTAATATAAAAGATTATATATATATATATATATATATATATATATATATATATATATATATATATATATATATATATATGAGTGTGTGTGTGTGGCGTATGGATTCGACTCGGATACCGAAACAACTCTTATACGGTCAGCTGAGTATTGGGAAGCGGCACGTGGGGAAACCAAAGTTACGTTACCAGGACATGATCAAAGTGAGCCTCACACGTTCTAATCTTGATTGCAGGTCATGAGAATCGAAAGCGGTTGATCGGCGCGTATGGCGCGATCTCATCACGAAGGCAGTTGCTGAAGTGAGGGAGAAAGACCTCATGCATGCAGAGAAGAAGCGGCAAGTGCGGAAGCGGCAAGCACCGATGGATTGTATTCCATCGACATCGAGTGCATGGTGCTGTAGCACATGCGGTCGCGAGTGCCTGAGTCAGGCAGGCCTAGTGAGCCATGAGCGAGGCCACTCGGGACTACTACCGAAGCGCCGACGGGTTCTGCAGAGAACGTAGGCAGAACCGGCGCAGCGTTTGTAGCTACGCTGCATTCGATTTACTAACCGCGTGCTTGCATGCTAAGTCAATTTATTTCAGGTGGTGGGTTTTCAATTTTGTCCTAATGCTTTTCTTTCCCATATAAATGCCTAGTTATACTCTCTTCTATACACTTGCACACGTCGCTTAAGCCACTTGTAGTTATTTCGATAACATTTTCGTGTTTGTAGCATTTCCGTAAAATAAACCTCCTTGTAAACAACTTATTTCCTATGCTAACTAATTTAAGATTTATGTCACCGTTTGCTTGCGTGCTAAGTCTGTTTATTTCAGGTGGTGGGTTTTCAATTTTGTCCCAATGCTTTGCTTTCTCATATAAATGTCTACCTTCTATAAACTTGCACACTTCACTTAAGCCAATTCTATTCCTTTTCGAAAACATTTTTGTGTTCGTGGCATTCCTGTAAAATATACTTTCTGTCCTCGTGAACTTACCTCGCATTCTTCTGTAAACAATTTACTTCAGATGCTCATTACTTAAAGATATATGTCATCCTTTTCTTATACATTACTCGATTTATTTTCTTTGTTATTTTCTCTCAAGTGATTGGCTGTTGCTTGATATCCCTGGTGAGGCTGCGCTTGATGTGCATGTTGACAAGGTGTCTACCTGTCTATTACCCACTACCTCGTCCATACTGTCTCCAGGAGACAGGTGGTCGTTGCTGGAGAGGACGGGGTGCACGGTTCTTGTGATCGTGTTAGGATCAAAGAGTGGTTCCATGCAGTCAGTGTGGAGCGGACTACGGTCCAGCCACCGCCTTGTGTGCGATTGATTCCCCAAATACAGCGTGCTTGTGTTTGCCTGTGAAGGAGTGTGGGCGGGCTCCGTTGATGAACCGTGGCTTCCATCCACATGCCTCCCGGTCTTATTCCTTCGAGTTTACACTGGATATGGGGTATGTGGTTGGAGCTGTGGGTGGTGCAGCGCAAGCCACCCATGGTCCCTCTGTAGGCGCAGGCGTCCTGTGGCTGGCCACAGTGAAAGGCAAATCCGAAACCGGATGCCGCCAACCATATATATAGTTCAGTATCGTTCACTACTTTTATTTTACAATTCACAAAGGACACGGAGCGTCGCGCCTTCTCTTTTTTCCTGAGTTTTTGTTCTGGCTTGCAAGTATTGTGTAGAATGATTATGCAGCCGACGCTAATCATCTTCACCTATCCGACCCGCTGTGAATAAAGCTTGGTGACTGGTGATCTAAACACATGGCCAACATCACTCAGGCAGAATAGAGCAGGTCACGGATGGATGATGGTCAATTCGTATTCTTCGAGGTCAATAATGACGTGACCCAATGTGTACTTTTACGTGCCTGGCGCGAACACGACAAGGAGGGACGGTACACAGAGAAACTGGTGGTCAAACCTGAAACATCGACAGGACATGGTGAGGCAACAACATGTTGGCCACAAAAACTACGCTTGAATGTGCATGAGTTGAGCAATTATAGACAAGCGACAAACATTCGTGCCGCCGGATTGACAGTGAACTACAGCCAATTTTCAACACGTTCTCATCACCCGGAGGAAAGGAATGCACAGAACAAATATATAATGACCGTGGAGGGTTCGAAGCTGTAGAATCCGTTCATCGTAGTGAAGAATGTAAGTAAGGGAACAAAATACCATCCAACCACCATACACTACCTGATGGGGAAGTTGGAACCAGACATTTCTGAGCAGGCCACGCAGAATAGGGCGCAACACAATAGAAGTGTAAAGAAAGACATCAAGCCAGTTAGATAGCGGATAAACCGTTCACGAAAAAGACGCTGTTTACAAGGCTAGTTTAAATGGGAACTGCTTCCATATATACTAAGAAATTTGCATCACATGGCAAAACTCACCATCAGGACGGCCAGACAAAGTAAAGAAACCTGAAATCAGAAGAGATATTAGGGTAAGGGCAGGTAACATGTAAAAGGACGATATAGAGCAACTGGAATGAAATGGGTTTAACGAGGAGGGAATTGTGTCCAGGATATGATAGGTTGTATAAGGGCGAAGCCACAATACTACTTGGTGCGCTGGCGTAGTCTTCTTGAGCTCCATAGGAAAACCAAGGGTTGGACCAACTCGACCGTATAGAGTAAATTGCGACCCGTCAAGATGCAGTTGAGCAATAGTCAGCACAGCGCGCGCGCTCACAAGGATGATGACAGAGAGTTGGGATACTACTGCGAAGGAGCTGGATCGTCTCTGTCGGGTACAAATTTTCATCACTATGCCTACCTTCAGCAATACGATACGTGGGCCAGTGTTGGGCCGAAGAGGTACCTCTGGAGACAAGCTCGAACATAGGTACATAAATGGAGCGAGAGCGCAAACACACACACCCCGACCGAACCGCAATCGCCACGAGCGTACTAAAGCGGTCCACCATCAGAGCACCAGTCCCCCCCTCCTGCTAAACGCGGCCAACTATTAGAGTAGGTACGGAGGTAAGTTCGAGTAGCGTTGAAAATTTCGGATCTTCACTCAACAAACTTACTGTATAAAGCACAAAAGTGATTGGAAGTGTGATGATGGAGAGACAGAGGACATATTTCAGTGCAAGATGATATATGAACATCATGAGCGACCGTGGAATGTCGCTGGAATGGTAAGTGGTAGTTGTGCACGTGTCCGATGAATAATCTGTTCAAATGGATGATGAAAAAAGTGACCCATACAGTGCCGGTACATAAGTTGTTGGCAGAGACTGATGGCTGAAACGAGCAGACTAGAAGACCAAAAGAAGCAAAAACTCGGACATATTTGGCTCGTCGTCGGATTCATTAGTTCAGTGCTTTCGGGTACAGGGCTGAGCAACAGTTCCAAATGTAATCGCACGGAACGCCACGGGACGAGATGAACTCATTCCAGCCATATCAAGTGTGAAAACTGACAGTCAATTCAACATAAAAGGAGCAATAGAAGAACGTTCCGGAGGTCAAAATCAGAAGCAGAATGGTCGTCGTTCGAGGCACATGTTAGTGGTGCAAGTAGGGCAAAATTCAGTGTTCTCTCGCAAGAAATACATGCCCTATAACAACACTGTACGCTAACATTCAACTCTCAGCCTCAATTTCGGGCATGCATCATCACACTCAACGTGTTGTACTCTTTATCCCTTGTATATTGTCATTTCGTCGGCAGGTGTTTAAATTTATGACACACATGTTTGTTATTTTTGAACTCTATCTGACCATGCAGTAGCACTAGTTAAGTACTGGCCATATAGGTAATAAAGCATTTTCATCTTCGATCGCATTATTAATCAAACTAGTTAGTTAGTTGCGCGAAACAGAGACGCGAACATAGGTGCATGCCGTGCTCCCACACCCACTCTGTCAAATGTCCGGGTAAAGAATGACGCGACTCACTGAGACGAGCCACAACCACCATTCCGATCATGAGCAGTGTTCAACAACTCGGTGTGCTCACCACATTTCACAACTCCGTCGTTGCTCGAACGAGACAAGCTCAGACTGACCGGAGTAATTTGATTAGGTCGAGGTTGCCAAGGGGATAAGTGCATCGGAAATGTGTGCATTACTCCACATGGTAAATGAGTAAAGCCGGCGTGGAGAGATGTAACGAAAATCGGTAGCTGGTCGTGCTAAAACCCAACGACTACCAACATGACGGCGACTGCACGGTACGATCAATCGGTGGCGTACGCGCAGACGTACGGAGATTCGAAATGGTTGAGGGGGAAGTCTTAGAAACGGAATACTCAGTCAGAGTAGTTGATAAGGAAAAACAATGCGAACACATCATTGTGCACGGAAAATAGCTAGTGTATCGAGAAGGAAAGCATCTGATACACAAGCGGCAGCTGCGGATGTGTCAGCATTAGCCAAAAAGGCGTGAGGGAAAAGCGGCCCAGACTACGTGGGTCTGGTAACTCAGTAACGAAGAGTCTGTGTAGAAGAGGTGGTGCAGAGAAATCACACCACTATCTCTACATGCTGACATTGCGGCGGATGTGATGAACAAGATCAGTACATCTCCCCTGCAGATGGGTTGAAAGTACACTAGCGAACGTGTGTTGCCGCATACTTGACGCCTGTACCGAGTGAAATGTCAAGCTTGATTGCATGGAATACGCGTTGACAAAACGCTTAATCGTCCGATGTTACCATTTCGATCAGCGATCCCAGGGAGTAGTCGTGAATCGCCCTCGGAGAAGTCGGGGTACTCAATCTTGGCGAATGTGTTAAGCTTAAAGTGAGGTTTCAGCAACGAACATGTCACGGTTTAGCAAACACCCTGGAAATGCATGCCCAGTGCGCAAATTTCTCAAAAATATACACATCATTGATATGCGTGTAAAGGGTGTACCGCCTATGAATCGTAGTTTCAGTCCTACGGGTTTATGTTGCATGTGGATGGAGTTGTGGACGGTGTAGCACAGGCCACTCTGTAAATGCAGGTATCGGTGGCCAAGTGCAGTCACAGTGATATGTGAGTTCAGAAACGGACGATGCCACTACTAAACATGTGAAGCACGCACTGCATACATTTGGCAGTAATTGCATTCAATCCCCAGTAGAAAAACCGGTCCGAGTGGTTCAGACATGCATGTACAGAAATATGACGGCCCATCGTAATGAGGCTGGACCTTACCGTGGTACGATGGCTTGCGTGCCTCAGCGATCCATTGAGCTTTCTTTGCACCTTCAGAGCAATGGTCAATGAATAGAGGCCAGACAAACTCAGTCTCTTGGCCCTCCAGCTTGGGGGTTGGAGTGAGGGTGGATCCTTATTCCATAAAACGGACTACGTGTAGTCCACTGCCAAACTCGTTGTCTTGCGGTCCGATTTTTGAACCAAAGGCTTTGGGTTGAGAATCCTAATCGTTCTCCTGCCTAGTCCTGCGTAACCCGACAGTATCCTGCCCACACAATGTTATGAATCTTTCCTCAAACAACTTGATGCTCTGGCGCAGGGTAAGCATCGGTGCCTTAACTGCTGCATCGAACAGGGTGGATAAGGGCTTGGATGCAACTGCTCAAGCCTTCCCATCTTCTTATTCACCCTCTTAGGCTTGATCCCCCATATGGTCCCGTTCCAGCTTCACTTTTATCCCCCTTGTTTTCAATTCCCCAATTTTTTGCGCTCCCTCACCATGCTTTGATAGGCATTTATCTTCTAGTTTCAACTCACGTGCGAACGCGCAGCGTCACTCTTACCCTATCGACATGGCTCACTTGTTGACATGTCTAGGAGCGGACCTCAGTCACGTTTGTGTGGTGAGTTTCTTTGTCCCCCCCTCCCGCTTTGATTCCCCCTTCAACCACGAGCTCATTTATTAGGCGTAATATAACTCCTTTATTGGGGTACAAAAGCCGGCTGTTAGCTCTCAGGAACGAAGTCCATCCCGTTACTGGTGGCTCAGCCTGCGTGCCTCTGTTTCATGTTTTTTTTCTCGGTTGTATTGCGGCACAATAGCTAAGATGTTTTCCACCTGCAGCTAACGTGTATACTAAACGATATGATGGTGGTCGATGGGGCGACTGAGCGGGTGTAATCGAAGAACGTTTCTGGGCTTAGGATAGAAACCACGTGCTTTCTCAATTGGTCTGTCAGAGGACTTTGTAGTAAATGGGAGATTGCATGCAAAAAGCAAAAAAAGATAAGTCTCGCGAGTTGATTCAACCAATGAAGAGTTCTGATGAAGCACTATTTTACTCATAGCTAATGTGTGGTACCCCCTTCAAGAAAAGTTCCCACAATCTCAAGCATGTTTCTAAATCGTGATCACACTACATGAGGTGTTCATTTTTGAGGTAATACAATTGTTTCACTCGAGATTTCGTGCGCCGACACTGGTCAGATGAACTATATTTCCCTTCAAGTAAGACAACAAAGCATTTCAGTAGTTAACCAGCTTGCGTATATTCGGTGACCGTTCAAATTCAACCTTGCTATGGAATGAAGAGGTTCTTCGTCTTATTCCAAGAAACATGTTCGCTGCATATGGGAGGCAACTGTACTCGATTCTAGAGACGGAGGAATTCAAGTGAATTTGGTGACAGCCCGTTGAGACTCGGTTAGGATGTCTGTGTATGGCTAACTAGATCACAGTGCATAGTAATCAGCACTAAACAGTCAGGTGCATCGAGCGATATCCACTAGATGAAGTTCAATTTATGTGAAGTGATAAAATCAACAGTGTCGGGCAGTTGGTAAGTAAAATAAGGAGGCAATCTGGTGATCGTTGTCTTGGATACGATTCATAGGGCAGAACAAGCGTGGTGCACGGTTTAGGGGAAAAAGTAATCTGGACAGATGGTGGCGCAGCCGGTATGCACTCGGCGACGTTAAGGATCCGTTGGAGTTAGATAGGTTCGACCCAATAGACCAGATACGTACAGCGGAAAAGTACGTCCGTATCCTGGTGATAACTTACTCCCGGTCCAAGAAGGGTGAAAACGAGAGGAAAGCAAGTAATCGCAACTGGATATGATAACGGTGGGTTACCCCTCGGTAATCGATTTTATATTTAACGCAGACAAAGGCATGATGCTAATAAGGATGGAATCAGTGCAGTGATACCAGGGTACACGAGAAATATCGTTCCACTCGCGAGTGATTCCATGTGAACCAGAGCTCAAGTGCCAGTATGCGGGAACAAAATTCCATCCGTCTTTTCGGCAGGAAGAAGGTAGATGACTAATTCAGTCTTCCGTAGAGATCAGTAGTAGCCAATGCGAAATTTGCGTTGCGCACTATCGTGCCAGCCCTGAGCGGGGTCGCAAACCAGTCGGCAAAAGTCTGGTACGGTTTTTTAACTTCACTTTATATACAAGAGTGGCACGCTGTGGAGTTGTTAGAACCTATTCAATCTCACGGCTTGCATACTGGTATCTTACAGTATAAGCTGGTATACTGGAAAGTTCCTAGAACATCCTGCGCTCCGATATCATTCAGCAGGGAGAACGCATATGATGAGGGAGCAAGTGCACACCCACGATGACAGCGTTAAAAACAATGAGCTCTGAGACAACAGGGAACGCGAGGATTGTGACCACTAACACGATTAATGCACTCAGAGCCACCGAATATCATCTTTGCATGGAAGGTATAAACATTAGCAGTACATCGGCACCCCGTGCTGACGTATCGCGGTCACGCGTCACCACCAGTCACGGATGGGCTGGGGATATTACGATGCGTCCGGACCTGAGCAGATTCGAACCCGTGACTTTCAGATCGCAAGACAGACGCTAAATCTTTTGGGCCATCTGGGTGAAATGGATAAGCAGAGTTAGTGAAGGTCATAAAGAATCACTCACCAGTGTCTTTCGGATGAGAAGGCATTGGGCGGAAGTTGGACAGTGGACGTGAAACCCCATCCCCGGGAGAATACATGGTGGGCGAGTGAAGAATACTGCTCGGATAGTGGTACTTGCGAGTAGCAAAGGAGGGGAGAAAACTGGGTTTCTTTGGCCTTGCTGATCCACGTAATCTGGAAGAGAGGAACAAGGTGGTAAACGATAGCACGAAGGGTTTAAAAAAATAATGTATCAGCTGTACGCCGTAACGGCGCTTCGCTGCCGCGCGAGCACCACCAGTCGCGCGCGGGCTGAGTATACCGCGAGGGCGCCCACCCCTAAGCGGACTCCAACCGGTGACTTTATGGTTGCAAACCAAACGCGCAAACCACTCGGCCACCGGCCGACACGAAGGGTTTAGCTAACACCAACAATGGCTCGAGTTCTGTGCGGTGTTGTAACGGTTGCCGAAGTGGAACGTCCGGTCATCAGTAAGAGGGCAAATTAGTGCAACGAGGAATAAGAGCAAAACGATGGAGAAACGATGGTGTGGCGAGTGAATGGAGAGGCGACGATCACGATGTCATGATGGACCAGGTTCCAAAATGTCGATGAGACTGGACACAAAGCTGTTAACTCAATGATGACGCATGACCGAGAGCAACAATCGGTCAAGCTATGAAGAGCGTATGATGGCACAAGTGGTAACGCGGTGTGCAGTGCGAGTAGACCGGCAGGTAGGGTCCGTGACTAGTAATCCTGTGCACAGAAACACATTGCTGCAGCTCAGTCACGCAAAAAATGGAGTGGTGAAGATGAGGAAGAGACTGAGTTGCCTGTACATGTTGATGGTGGCCATTTACATAGTGCTACAGCATCCACATCGGATCTGGAGTGCGAGTAATCTCAAATCAAATCCTGAGATATTCCAACGTCGTCAACTGTGACCGCCGCTAGGTGACGCAAGTCAAACGGCTGTGCTGCAAGCATCCACGAGGATGGCGATATAGATGGACTGCTCTGTTGCCTCTATATGGCAGCAGACGACCACACGCATGTTAGTCATCCGTGCACGAAGTAAGTCAAAAATTAACTGGGCTTGCGATCAATTAAAAGTAGAGGAAGGGAGCTGGTTGACAGCGGAATTTACGAAGAGCCGGCCAAAGTTAGTCACCGGGGCGCCAGGCGACCACATCAAAGCAGTACTCGGTGGGCAACGCAGTCACATTTAATGTCGTCGGGCTGAGGCTAAGAGAACAGATGAGGATTTTTCAAGATAACGCCAGTGAATGGGTTGCAGCATCGACAGCATTGTATAACAACAATGAGGGGACTGCGGGGGAACAAGCCGCGATAACCAGCACCAATTGCGTTACATCAGTGCTTTCAATGGTGGTTGGCTGGCATGTGAGCATGGGCCAGTGTAGACTGAGCAAGTGGGGAGTAAAAAGAGGGATAAAGACGACTGAAGGTTGGGTTAAATCGCAGCGAACCAACGTTCACGGTTGAAGCGTTCACAACTTGTCCCTGCAGTGCGGTCACAGTGTTAAAATAGTGTCGTGTTGAAACATCTCACATGTCAGAATCAATGGCAACACACAGGTAAGTCAGTGATACACCTCCAGCTAGGAACACATAGTGACCAAGGTAACGCTGCTGGTGCGTCGAGTGGACTTCAGATGAGAAGACGAGGCGAACCAAAAGGACACAATCAAGTGACTGGCAAATTTATTTCTCACTACCAAAAAGGAACCACTGTCCACTTGAACCTGGTTTAATTTAGCATAGAGTAAACACACATCGTCCTTATGCCAACGCAACTTATTCGGTGTTATTTGTGAATCCTAGATGCAAACTTAACCATGGTCGCCTATTGCTCACCCGCGTACATCGGTGTCACCCGATATCAATACTGCTCCATAGGCAGTGAAAGTCGAAGAACCGAAGGTACCTCAGTCTGAAAGGGAAGAAACTCACTGACGCAAAACCCAATTCGGTTCTGTACCCGCAACACTCATGATATGGAAGAATCATTCGTGGGAGCCAAGTGTGTCGCGCATAATTAACGGAAGCTATAACTCCAGAACACTGATGCAGTTATCGAATAAGTGTATAAATCAAACAGTTCGAAAACCGCTTCTACAGCGGTCAGAGGGATCACATTAGGCCTTCGGTCTAGCGATAGAAATTTGGAGGTGAGGCGCATGTGGATTATGTCGTATAGTGACCGTCGTAGAACGATTTGGTTTACACAGCACAGATCGACTATCTCTCCCGCGTAGTGAGACACCAAAGTTAAAGTGAATAAAAATGTTTATATATGCTAGCAAATTTGCAGTTTGCTCAAAGAATAAGGAGACGAGACTGTTTTGATTGCATGGGCAACACACACACGCCTCTCTCGCCATATATATATATATATATATATATATATATATATATATATATATAAGGCGACAAGTAAGTTGAATGGATAGATGTCAGTGCATAAATAATGCGCCGCTTCTGTTTGTATTCAGTAACAGGCAGATATGGCACGCGTGCTCCATCATGTTTGTCAACGGACTGCACAGGTATCTGATTATGTTGCCTAGTTTTCGAAAGCACATGCTGACTGATATTCCCAGACTGGTTGCGCCCGATGTAAATGTTGGTAATATACACACCTCCCATCCCGTTTACTGGCTTCAGCAGATTCTTTATCTTTGCGGGAATAGAGCGGGGGGGGGGGGGTGTACAGTCTTCATGACGGTGCTAGGTCCACGGAGTGATTCCATCAGGTGAGGAACAGGCTACGATGCAGTCACTGTCCACTGTACATTTGGCATGGATTTCCCCAAATTACATATAAAAATGCATTTGTTGGAGGAGTGTGTTGGATCCCATCTACAATCCTCCGAGTTTACACAGGATATGAGGTGTGTGTAGACGGAGCTGTGGGTGATGCAGCACAAGCTACGACTATGGTTCCTGCCTAGGCGCAGGTGCTCTATGGCTATCCACAGTCCAAGCGACAAGCGGATCCAAAAACGGACGCCACGAAGCAGGCATATGCGTAAGATCGATGAAGAGAAGTCAATGGGAGAGGTTCCGAGTAGAGGGAATTATGAACAGTGTGAATAGCAACTAAGTTAGACGGAGCAGCGCGCAGATGAGGCGAAATGCTTGAGTGCCTTCATTTCCAAGTTGGCAGAAACAGGTGGAATGAGTAGAGAAGAAAACGCACAGCGGAGCATTATGCCGAAAACGTACCAGCCAAATTATTATGGTTGGTGGCATCCGGTTTCGAATTTCCTGTCACTGTGGCCTCCACAGGAACAGCCCCAGGATGCCTGCACGTACAGGGGGACCAAGGGTGGCTTTCGCTGCATCACCCACATATCCAACCACATACTCCATATCCAGTGTAAACCTGAAGGAATTAGACCGGGAGACATGTGGATGGGAGCCACGTTTCATCAACGGAGCCGGCCCACACTCCTTCACAGGCAAACACAGGCACGCTGTATTTGGGGAATCAAGCGCACACAAGGCGGTGGCTGGACCGTAGTCCGCTCCACACTGATTGCATGGAACCACTCTTTGATCCTAACACGGCCACAAGGACCGTGCACCCTGTCCCCTCCAGCAACGACCAACTGTCTCCTGGAGCCAGTATTGACGAGGTAGTGGGTAATAGGCAGGTAGGCACCTTGTCAACATGCACATTAAGTGCAGCTACATCTGGGATGTCAACCAAGAGCCAATCATTCGAAATGCCGATATCGAATAAAGTAAACGCATGTGACGCCATAAGTACTCGCTAAATGAGCATATGGAAGAAATTGGTTATGACTGAATGCACGATAAACATAAAATGTCCGAAAGTTATTTAGAAAATAATCACGCGATAAAATTACGCAAGTTTACCACAATTTGCATGAGCGATGTGTGCAAGTTGGGAGATTATCAAGTATGCAGAACAAAGCAAATAAAATGTAATGAATTTTATCCACATTAAAAAGACGTAGTTTAAGTGTAAGTTGGTTTAGCCCAACTGCGGTGAAGAAGCATCATGAATGCAACATCAGCCTCAGCATGGGGCAGCCAAGTTATTATGCACCGTAATTTATCGATAATGAAATCACTAAGCCGTTAGCAAAGCAAACCATGCAAGTGAAATTTTTGACGGCGAATGTGTTGACGACCAAATTTAATTGATGTATGTGGTTCGGTGAGCGCCATAGATCTCAGGAATTTCAATGCTGAATCGAAATTCAGTTTCAAGACAAACAGCAGCGACACGAAGGGGTGCTGCACCTGTCAGGATCATTGGAAATGAAAGTTAAATTAAACATGATGTGCAACTTGTAGTCCGGTAAGAATGGATTAGTGCACTGTCTGCTGAAGAGTGATATCATATTCTGGAACAACGCGTGACTCATGTAACTGTCGACTAAAGAAACAATACACAAACGTAACAGCAGGGTGGATATAAAAGAGACCACAAATGGTGTGACAGTGCTTGTTCTAAACCGTTGAATTCCCACCGTCTGTAAGCCAGTACGAAATCAGGGTGCGAAAATTCTACCAGTTGTCGTACGTATGCTTTAAAACTGAGCATCAGGAGTAATAAAAAAAGCACAGAAAAGATTACCCAATGGGAATGGCACACTCCGGCGTTCGCTGAATTTAATGACCAAGTGAGGAACCCTGTCAAGTAAAGGGGTTGATATAACTCCGGGACATACACCTGGCTTGACTCTTAGGTCGAAGTTGACCAAGTGTGTCTATCATAAAGTTACAACGAAGAATCGCTGGAACAAGTATGTGAGAATGAGAGAGATTTCAAGAAGCGCGTGGATCACTTGTTAGTCGACTCCGGGAAGACCCGTGGCGGAGCTGTACGCTATCGGGCGCGTCCCCAAGTTGCGGATCGGGGAATGCCTTCTTTGTGGAGGTAACTGCGACTAAGTCTCGGTTGTCTTGCAGGCCAGATGAATAAGCAGTCGCGGACAATCAGCGGCAGCGTGTCAGAGCGTGGGGAGTTATGGGCTGGTCACCTGGTTCCCCATTAAATACCACAAGTGCTCGTACGGCGCTGTGTCAAAGCTAAGGTGACCGACTATAGGGTCACTGATCACTCACTCCTGTAACTGTGGGTGAGTATCTAACGGAGGGCGGATGAACAACCTCGCTAGTCACCGGCTTCTCTATGGACTACTTCCGAATACAAAGAAGGCGAATAAGCCACCTGGCTGTCAACGGTCTTCGTGAATCACCCCGTTGCTTTGGGGGTCAGGTTTTTAAACCAGAGGCTCGGGGTGGGGTCCATTAAGTCAACCCTCTTCCTCGGCCTGGGGAACCGGGAAGTTCAATGGCCACACAAGACATGAGACTTCGCTTCCATTCCTCTTACTCACTCATTTTTGTTATTGTTACTCATGTGTTGTGGCACTGCCGAATGTTGAGTGGGCAAGTGTTATATATATATATATATATATATATATATATATATATATATATATATATATATATATATATATAAGTACGGGAAAAGGGAGCCACGGTTGTTCGATGTGGTTGGGGCGTAAAGCAGAGGCGACCTTGCCGTTTGACCTTGAAAACGCTTGAAGACGGTGGATAAATGATCAGAGTAAATCTGATTACGCCATTCAAAAGAAATGACAATTGTCAAAGCTCAGACACGGGAATCAGAGAACTGGACGAACTAATCCATTGAGGCATCAGCAGCAGTAATGCCATCGACTCCTAAATATTTGTGGACATTAACACTTGCCGGGTGCATGAAGTACGTTGGCAAACCGACAATGCAACAGTCGACTGATCACTGTTTGAGTCCAAAATATGTGATCCACACCACTGCTTTCGGTATGTTTGGCAGAAGACCGCATCCACCGGGACGAGTAGTCGACAACGGTGGTGGTCCGTTATATGCAAGGAGCAGATAACTTGCTGGGAGCACCAACTGCTGATGAAGACCATTTACGGGCTCGAGGTAAAGGTTCATCTTCGGTCCTAGAGAGCTTTGGCTTAACCCCAGAAAGGACAACAATTATTTTTTTGGACTCGCATCATGGCGCAGACGCCCTGACGGAAGAATTTCAAATGCTGACACTTCTTCAATGCATTGACGCAGTGCTGGGTATGAAGGAGATGGTCTGAATGGGAATCGCCATCGGGAATCCATGGAAAAGTGTAGGGGTGGACGAGGTAGGTGCGCACTGTGGGGGAACCGGGAAGACCTCAAACAAGAGCTGCAGCACGACTATGGGATAAATTTAGTCGGATGGGGCTATACCGGAATGAGGAGTACAAGAGGAGAGAGAAGGTGACGTTGAACATCAAACACTACGACTCCACATGCGGTTAGCAATTCGATAGGCAAAACGGGTCGAGAAGGTTGACTGTCAGTTCGTTTTATTTCCCAGTTTCTTTTTACTGAGGTATTCAAGCAGCACACGTGGCTTGTAGGGTTGACATATTCGCGTTCTGATTCCCAAACTAGACAAGTTGCAAATATTACATTTTCAGGACCTCGAAAGAGAATTTAACAGATGTTATTCTCTTAACCGAGGAAGAACGCATGAAAATACAATGCTACATGCATCAGCGAGAAGAATTCGAAATTAGCCGTCATTGCGCATCTGAGGATTCGTATGGAACGATGGGGAGAGGACAATCAATCGTGGGTGTGCGAACATCGCAAGGACAACTGGTAATGACAACACGCATAATAAGCGGGTCGCGAACTACAAAAATACGACTGTAAGTAACATACCTGAAGAACGCATGGTGCTCCACAGTGACTGTGTAGAGACGCCTTGCGGCAGTGGTGTTGATACATTTGAAGGACATGTTTCGATCCATATTCTCTGTGTCACTCGGTCGAAGAACCACAACGAAATGCCGACCACGATGAGATAGGCTTATAATCCGGGGCCACGAAATTCGCATGAGGCGAAGTCTGTTTCGATATACCAGGATACCGCCATAGTACACTCCTAAACTGACGTCTTTGTCCTGAGAGTTCTGAGGAGTGAAACAGATATTGCAAAGTGTCAAAAGGAATCAAAAGAAAGACATTCGACGCGAGTTCATTTCAGTTGCAGTAGTAACCATAGAGACAGGACGAGTTTGATCGTCTAGGTTAACAAGACGACGGAGATCGGTAGTCATTAGTGAGACAAAATGAAGCTGACGAGTAAACTGAGCGGCTAAAGAAGAGATATGATCTCATCATGAGTGATACCTTTTTCTGGGTGTCAAATCGGGGTAAAGTGGAATGCCAAAATGTCTTCGACAGAAAGCAAGGTGATCAACAAAATGGGTCTATGAGAAGCAATTTTGTGAACGAAGCAAATCCAAGACTGATCTTGTCCCGTCTAAGTAGGCTGAAGGGTTTGTAGATCCATGTTCGTCCAGACCTGGACCCGGTAAACCGGGAAGGGTTCGAGTCTGCCATAATTGAGCTGAAAAGACGTACTGGTGGGGGGGGGGGAACAAACCTATGTATTATAAATGTTCGGGTGGTTTCCAAAAATCTGCGAATCAGGATAAACAGGTTGTTCACACTTCAAGCACGCTCAGCGATTCCTGCTGCGGCCTGCATGTAGCCTTTACCAACGTCTGCAGTGTCATGAACAAGCGCGATGAGCTTTGTCGTTTCGTTGCGTCTGAGTGGGGATATGGCTGCATTCAGAAGTATAGACCCATGAAATTGAACTCAGCGGTTACTGTCCTTTCGCTGCAGTAGATTGACGAATAACCGCGATAACCACTTGCTCTACATCCGGTCATCCCTGCGTGGGAGACTTGTGAGCACCTAACAAAATGATGAGTGTCTGTGTGAGCTACGGTGGTGTTCCATCCACCTCAGGCGCGGAGAACTACTTGTGGATGCAGTCTATCGCAGCCCCCCATCTTCGAACCCACATGAGTCGTCCACAATTTCTACTTATGGGCGATTTTAACTGTCCTCGAATATGATAGCCTGATTTGCATTTGATGTCTGGACATGGTGAGGTTGAAACAAAGTTCGTGGATTTGGTAATTGAAACTGGTGCACCGCAACAAGTAAGCCAGCTAACAAGCATAACATCCCATTCAACTTCGTCCTGTCTTGACTGGATGTTAACCAGCTACGAACACTGAGTACGTGACGTTCGGATCCTGGAGCCCCTGGCTACAAGCGACCACTCAGTGGTCACAGCTGATATGGAATTATCTTCGCCGTTTTCACGTCTGCTGGAGCCAGCTTACAACTACTGGAAAACGGACTTCGACGGTCTAGATCGAGGCTTGAGCCAAATGGATTGGTCTCTGTCAAAAGCTGCATCTGTGGAAGACGGAAGTTCATAAGTGATTGACGTCATTGTGTATACAATGTGTGCCCTTGAAGAGTGAGAAGGTTGGACCGATTAAGCCTCATTGGTTACATAAGGAGTATGGAAATCTGACTTGGAGGCGGCGCAGAGTGTAAGACAGCTTCCTCCCCACTGGCTCTGCCAATGACTACGTATACAAGTCAGCGGAACATCTACAACAGTGTAAACTAGGAATAAGCGCCAACATTTCGAAGAGCAGTTCGCAATCGCCGCGAAGACCGCTCCACAGAGAATCTCTGCTTATATGAAGTGACGCCTGAAGCCTGCAGGTGATGTACCAGTACTGGATGACCCGGACTGACAGCCTCTAATCTCCAGCACTGAGCGTGCGTCCGTCTTAGCGGCGCAATTCGCCTCTATATTTGCCAATGACTAGGTGTCTGTTCCGAGTTCGACGCGTACCGCTTTTACCGAACTCGACAACCTGGGATGCGGCCTTGAAGACGTAGTTCAACTACTCGCCAGCCTTCACGGCATCAAACCTGCCGGACCTAATGGGCTCCACCCACTGATTCACAAGTCACTTTCGGCCATCATCTCTCCTGCCGTGACTGACCTTTTCAACAGGTCGCTGTCCAAAGGTTCGTTCCAGATTGAATGGAAATGTTCGGTAGTGAAGCCTATTCAGAAAGGTGGCGACTTTAGCAAAGTAGACAACTACAGGTCAAGTTGTCTGACAAATATATTGGCAAAGGTTGCTGAAAAATCGTGAATAAGGGATTACTGCAGTTGCTACAGTCAAAATACGTCCTGGCGCTCGCAAAGCACGGTTTTATGCATGATCGCTCATGCATTCCAAACTTGCTTGTGACGAGGAATGAGTGGTTGCAGGCAATAAGCAATGTGATGTGATATTCATCGATTTCAGTAAAGCGTCCGCCAAGGTCAGCCATGAGGTCCTCCTTCACAAACTCAGGATGTGCGGTGTCGGTGGCTCACTGCACCAGTAATAATAATAGTAATAATAACAATAATGTGTCAGCTGTACGCCGTAACGGCGCTTCGCTGCCGCACGACCACCACCAGTCGCGCGCGGGTTGAGTATACCGCGAGGACGCCCACCCCTACGCGGATTCGAACCGGTGACCTTATGGTTGCAAAGCAAACGTGCAGATCACTTGGCCAACGGCCGACCACTGCACCAGTGGATCTGCGACTTTCTTGTTGGACGAAAGTGGATGGTACAGGTCGACGACCATCTAACTGACTGGTATCCCTCTACAAGTGGTGTACCTTAAGGCAATGTACTGGAACCCAATCTGTTCCTGATAGAGATTAACGATCGACCTCCGCTTCTACGGTCGCCGTGTGCCTTGTTTGCGAACGACATGAAGATTTGGAGAGAAATGAACGCTCCTGACGACTGTGGCATACTTTGTCCTTCCCTTTGTCCACCCCCCTCTTGCTTAGCCCCCCCCCTCCAATCACGATCGCATTTGTTAGGACAACATAGCTTTTTGCGGCACGATAGCCGGCTGTTAGCTATCCGGAACGATGTTCATCCATTACTGGGGACTCAGCCGGCGTGCCACTGTTTTTTTTCCTTTCCTTTGTATTGCGGCACAATAGCTGCGTTTTCCACTTGCATCCAACGTGTATAATGATGAATGATGAGATTGTAATCTGGAACAGACTAAGTGACGGGGGACAGTAGGAGACCCGTGCGTGCGCTGGATGAACAATCAGCTCACTTGAAACAGTGGTGTAGCGACGGGGCACTATGAAGTGAGCTAAGATGGAATACCGATAGACAGAACCTTAGGTATTCCCCACCCTTAGTAACGTGTTGTGTGATTATGAATAACGCGAACTACTGAATCTGGTCTAAGACTTCATACCAGTCGATCAGCGCGTAACCAGAGAGAATGGAGCATCCTCAGCACTGAGCAATAGAGATCACTAGTGAGCGAAGGCAAAAATAATGACAGGAGCACTTGTAATCGCAGACACAATCAAAGAACAAACCTTTACTCGATGTAGATCAACGCCGTATAGAGCCAACACCCGTGCGTTTTGCAGAAACAGCCGGTCAGCTTCTTGAGGTGATTTTCCACTGCAGACAAAATGGGAACAGAGAAAAACGCTATTACAAAAGGAGCCAATACTGACAAGTGGGCTATGTAGATTACAGGTTGGTTGAGTGAAATTTGGCCACTCGTTTTAAATGCTATTCGGCATGATGTGAGCACAATACATTGTGACGTTCAGACATTTGGGTTAAATGGGAAAATACTAAAGTATGAGAGGCAGAGGTGAGCATCAGTATCTATTATACACCTCAACTACAGATGGAAAACACCTACGCTACTGTGCCGCAATACAGAAGAAACGAAAATAACTTGCAAAAGGTGTGCGCCAGTAACGAATTGGCATCACTTTGGAAAGCTACCAGCCGGCTAACATGTTGTAAAACTCATTATGCGAAATTCATATTATCATAAGAAATGAAATCGCGATTGGAGAGGAAGGCTAAGCGGAAGGGGAGGGACAAAGAAACTCACAACACGAATGCCACTGAGGTCAGCTCCTAGCCATGTCAACAAGTGTATCCAGCCAAACGTGTTCATCGTTCTTCGATTCCAAACCAGGGAGCCGAGAGGCTCCAACTGAGGCCAACCGAAGTAAGGGCCTTCATTCCTCTTGACTAAGTCATCACTTGGCCATCCCTCCTCTTAGTCCATCCACACCCCGGGCGCGCAAACAACGCACGTCGCGGGAATCGGTGGGCTGGCATGCGCAACACGTGGCCCAGCCATCGGATCTGATGTGTGAAATAACGGTGCTGAGCGGTTCGTTTCTACTCCCTGCGCCATAAACAAAACATCGAACACAGTCATTGCTCACACGGTGTTCCCACCAGATTTGAGCCAAACTGCTAAGGCACCGGTGGTCGAACGTAACTAGCCTCTTTATGTCGGTTGACCTAATGAGACAGGTTTCACAACCGTAAAGTAGGGTCGAACGTACCGATGCATTGTACACTCTACACGTCAAGATGAGAGTGATGTCGCGCCGGCACCATAGGTGGCGAAGGTTAGCAAAAGCGCCTAGTGCTAACCTGTCCAGAGCTGCTTGGCACATTTCTGAGCTGTCAATAAGTCGTTCATCTAGGAGCAACCACATCTAAGTCGTGTCCTGTGAATGCGATTGCCATGACTTCGTCAATAGCGAAGTTGAGGACGGGCATCCTTGCCTCATGCCGTTGGAGATATTTTAGGGCGGCGACAAATTGCCGTAAGCCCTCATACTGCCCGAGTTACACGCGTAGAATCCTCGGAGAATAGTTACATATTTCTCGGACACACCTTTCCTTAGCAGACAGTCCCAAAGGGGACGTCGATTCACCGAATGAAAGGCACCTTTGATGCTGAGGAACACGACAACGGCGGGACGCCAATATATGTGACGGCGCTTCAACAACTGACGCGAAGTGAATATTTGGTCGATGCAGCCTCGACCTCGACGAAACCCGGCTTGCTCCTCACGAATCTGGCTTTCATGAGTATCAGTTAGTCTGTGAAGAATGACGGAAAAGAGGAATCTTCCACTTGAATTTAACCGCGCGTAACCTCAGAAGGACTTGGTTAGCTAACTGTGGACGACCAATTAACGTCACTGGAAGTGAGACCAAGAATATTTTAGTGCGAAAGAATGGGTGAAATGGCACATAATGGTAACGAAAGGTAATAGGCTGTCGAATCATGGTTGATGTGCAGCAGTTATTTCAAATAAGTACTTTTCAACAGAAATGGATGAAAACGTTCGTCATTTCAAATGCACCTTGGCTAGTAGTGGGCAAGTCAATCGATAAATCATGAAACAATAGTTCCAATTTTGCAAAGTATTGAGAAGACTGGAGTTAAGAAGGAGTATAATACTACTACTACATTGGAGTATCCTTGAATCAGTGTGATGGAAACATTGAATTGGGAGCAAATGAAGATTAGGACACACCGATGAAGTTTGTGCAACTGTACAATACGCTCAAGCATCTCCGGTGTCTGTAAAATGTGCGGAGCGAACGGGTGATCTTGTATGTACTTGATGCCCACGTGTTGGTTTGGGTCATGGTCGCCGGCCTCGGATTGCACGATGTATGCGCCAAGTAGGCAATAGGTCATGAAGGAACAAGGCAATCTGGAATGAAAGGAGGAGGATATAAAATGGGACATCGAGCATCAGAGATTGGTAAACACGACGGAAACCAACGATAGTTGAAAAAATGATAGCGTTTGTTTGTTGGCGCTTACGGGAACAAACGAGCACTCTAGGCGCACGTCTCAGAGACATGAAATACGCGAAAATTGGACGCATCGCAATGCCGTGAGAGAAAATCGATTCGAAAAAGCTGCAACGTGGGGAAAATGATCACGGCACTACCGGGGGAAAGAAAACTGCTTGGGCATGAGAACACATAAAAAGTATCAGCATTAGGTTAGAGCAAGGATAATGAGTAGTCTGTATCGATCGGTTAGAGGCACTTGTGCACTAGCGGATGCTTGGAATGATAAATTGCAATAATTCACTTTGTACTGTCTCATTAGGTTGGAGGTCCAATTTTATTCAATCCATCAGTGCGTTTACAATATAGGGATATTGTGGAGCAGAATTCACATGCAGTTTCCGGTATGCAGCCAACGGAGTGTCAGCTGTGTACCAATGGAGCATACCAATGTTGCTTGATCATTGTGGCAACGACAAGGTAGAAAGGGTTGAAAAGTCACAGGCTCACAGAGAAAAATGCATCATTCGGTTAGCTCAACTAAGGTACTGTTCAGAAACAAACGCATTGCACCGTCGTTTCACGGTTTGACCGCAACGAACGAATTAGAAGACAAGCACAGAACTGATTGTATGGGAGAGACATTGTCCTCATTGGAAACTAAAGCAACGAATTACAAATGTATGCAACTTTTCGGAAACGCAGCGGTTTTCCCCACCATGGACTTATACTGGGTCATTGCGACCGCCTGTTCCAGTCCATCAAACTGTTCAGGTTGACCTGGGCGGTGGGGTGCAAAATCGGTGTCTGAGTGACTAACACTCAGGTTCGCTGACCATATGATATGGGGAAATATCAGCAATAGGTTTGATGCAGTGCATTGCCTTGAAGAATTGCCTTTCGTCAGGATGAACGAACAGCATGCGGTCAAATATGCCTGCTGTACGCTCAAATGAGGCAATTTGTGAACGGAGCTATGAATTACCAATCAATTTGATCGAGACATGTAAAAGGTTCCGATGGATACTGAACTCCTGAAATGACAACTGAGAACAACTTTTAGCATTAACCGGGAACGTTGGTGGGTAGCAAAGGCCCACGAAATGGAGGAAGCCAGTGACATTGGTAATAGCCGAGTGCTACTCCAACTCATTCGGACCAGGAATACAAGCAAGCTCTAAGTTAGTGATACAATAGCTCAGAAATATGGACAATTGATCTGTACCCAGTCGCGTCAACTAGCCCCTTGTGTGGAAAATTTTTTAAGAACAGTTCAGCAGGCCTACTGCGACAATGTCGTTTGCCGAATCACCTGAACAGACGTGGGAAGTCAATGTCAAAACTCCCACCATGAGGAAAATTCGACATGAGGTTGCCGTAATGAAAAGAAACAAGGCTTCTCGATCCGACTAGCTTCTACCATCTTTGCTGAAAAATGGGGATGAATCACTGTTAACTGGACTTGCTGCTTTACTCAACACTATTTCGGACACTGATGGGGTACCATAAGGTTGGCGAATGTCAAATGTCGGGACCAGCATCAGGAGGGGTACAAGAACTTCTTCTCTCCATCACCTTCAAACTTCTCACGGGTATCATTCTTCGACAACTTACTGGCTCTCGTGAGAGCCGAATCGTTGGAAGCCAGGCTCGTATCCGCCTTGATCGTGCTTACATTGACCCTATATTTATTCCTCCTCAAGTGTTAGAGCACAGACACACCTACAGACGACCGACTAGGGTGGTTTTCCTAAACTTGAGAGCCGCCTTCGACTCTGTTGATCGTGTCAGGAAAATACCTTTCATTCTGAAGTCTTGGTCGCGTCAAAGAGTACGAGTAAAGGTTGGGGAGAAGTTGCCTTTTGAGTTACCCACGACAAGTGGGGTAAGCCAGAGTCGTCCAATATCTCTTTTCCTCTTCAACTTTGCGACTAAAATGATCATAAATGACTGTCCTTTCAGTCTTTCTGAGTGGAGAATCTGCCAAGTAGCCGACTGACAAACCTAGGGTATACGCAAGCCGCAGTTCTCCAAGAGTCGAACAAAGTGGCTACACAAGTAGTACTGAAGAGACCGACGCGCAGTGTTGCGCTCGTCGGCATGTGCTTTTCACACTCAAATGGCAAAATACTGTTGCAGGGTTGCACGGATACACCTCCGATTCATGCTATCAGCGTACACCCTCTGGAAATGGTGGATCGGTTCACTTACTTTGGTAGCTTTCCATTCTTCTTGCGGCATATTAGCTGAAGTGTGTTGCTCACCTTCAACTAGCATGCCACGATGATTATGACGCAATGACTGTCTCCTATCCACTGATCTCCATGGCTTTGTTGGCTCTATGTCGAGTTACTAGACTGTTGAGATTACATACATACATACATACTTTGGTAGCTGTCACCTCTGTTCGTCACATTACTGAGGGGATTATCTCACGTTTTAGCGAAGCCCGTGTGGTTTTTCAGGGTCTCGGCCATCTATGGAGACGGCGGAATATCAGCCTGTCAGTAAAAGGTAGAATGTACAATGGTGTGATAAGGCCAGCGCTATTGTGTGGATTAGGGTTCTGGTCAGCATACAGTGATCATCGTTGCTTACGGCAAATTGCTCAAATCTGGGAATACTGGATGCGCTTGACAAGAAACTCTTTGGTGCGTCACTCGAGTGTTGACTATGGTGCAACCGATTGCGTTGGTAAGGTCATCATCCGTTAGCCCACTGACCGCTTTCCTCGGCATGCATTATACGTCGTGGTTCCACCAAGTTGGAACAGATCGTGAGGTAGCCAGTTGAAGAATTGGCATAAAAGGATGAAGAAATTGACCGAGAGAGTTGGTCTGGTTGGTGGGTGCCATTTCTGGGGATGGGGACGTCGGGATGGTCCAAAACAGTGGTTGGAGATTGTATCGGACACGACACGGTTAGTGGTGCTCCTGAATTTGGTTTCTTGCAGTTAACCGGTAATTTTCATTTCATACTGACTAATTTTACGCGTCACTTTGCTGATTCCAATTTTTTGGATTCAATCTGCGTTCAACCTTATTTTTTACTGTTGTCAACCTTTGTCATTCTTGTGATGTCAGTTGTGGCAACTGAATCCAACGCACTTCGTTGCCTGGATCATCAATGTTGGATGGAACTGTACTAAAGAAATCTGTCAACGAACTGGATCAGGTTCCATACTCCTTCGGTGGAAGGACGGTGGTTTCAAACCAATGTGATCAGTTACAACCCGAGGGCTTGTGCTTGCATATGCCATATGTTGGTGGCACTACTCGGTTCAAACAGCAGTACAGCAGTTACAGAGACACGGAAGTTCCAAACACAAGTACCGGTGCTTCGCTGCAGTGCAAACGCAGCCATTCGTACGTAGGCTGGGATACCGTAGAGCAGTGGTTCTCAACCTTTTCGAGACAGTTACCCACAAATCGGGTTCACTATATACAATTACCCCACAAAACTTTTAGTTTAAAAAGCCAAGTACCCATAATTTGCTTTAAATTCAGAAAATGAATACTATTTCTAATTACTTTCGGTCATTCAAACAAAAAGAGAACACCTATGTTGGAGCAATTTCTAAATAATAAATGTGAGATATGTTGATGAGATGGTTGATATTGATTAGGCCTAACAATTTCTAGCATATCTATTGCGGATCCAGCTAATGCACATCATAAATCGTGCTCCAAGTCCATTCGGTTCCCTGCTTTCGTGTGTGATCCCTGACCAAACATGAACATATATCAGTGGCTTCTTATTGGTTTCAGTCATCGCTTCCAACTCCTTCCTGGATGACAGCTTCAAACTGTATCGATACGTCCTAACACTAACTGCCTGTTTTGTCTCCTCCAACCTATAAACATTCGCTCGCTCCTTTACCTGGTCGGCTGATCTATGCTCCTACCTTAGTGTTCACTAAACTATGTAATTCGACTCGGCGAACGGCTATCTGACTCAAAAAATCAACCATCAACGAGCAAGCCGATGGAGACACCATTTAGCTGTGCTGCTTTGCAGGCTTGTATTCGTAGTTTAGGCAATAAAATTTATTGTCGAAAATTGTTTGATTCCCTGACCACTTACTAAAGATTAGTCATTGATGGCTAATCTATGGTGACTAGATAGTTAGTTACATGTTTTGATACAGATGATTTAGTTTTGAATTGGGTTTGGCAACAAATGACCCAATCCTCGTACATACATTGATCCCCCGTAAAATTAAGCTTTACTTCTTTGGGGGTAATTACCTTCAGGTTGAGAAGCGATGCTTTAGAGGGACGGGGACTAGAGAATACGTATCAGTGTTTGCGGACACATTAACGTTGACGTCGCAAGCAAGCCGCGCTAGGGAGCACTGTGGATGTTTGTCACCAGATCGACGCAAGTAACACAGATAATGAGAAGTCTAAAGGGGTACATACTGAACTATCCGTGCCATACGGCTAGCAGTGTTCTCGGCGTGGGAAAAGAAATTCATTCCAATCTGGAACACTTTGAGGCGACATGCATAAGCTCTTAGGTATGTGTACGATTTGAGAAGCGAGTCGACCCAAGTCGTGATGTGCGGCTTAGACATAATGGCGGACGGGTTCGAAGGCGGCTTCGTAGCCATATGTAAGTGTGGCAATTCAGCGTAGTTTACAAGAATACTGTGTGAAGAATCAGCGTGTTTGGCGTCTTGTTCTAGTAAAGGAAAACCGAATTAAATGTCAAGCACAATTATTTCACATATTGGGTTCTGATGGCTGAGTCATGTGTTACGCATGTCAATAGATCGACTATGCGAATTGTGTTGTTTAATCGTCCGGGATCTGAATGTAGAAAGAGGATGGAAGGCCGGTTGGTAACTGGTTCCAGACGAACGAAGGCTTTCATTACGAATTTTACGTCTCGGTTGGTGCTCACTAACCCTGAGGTTTGGGTTCGAAAGACGATGACCCCAGTGGTTGTCTAATCTTGTTGACATGGCAGAGTCTACCCCAATGTCGTTCATGTTGTGAGTTTGTTTGTTTCTCCACATCTCGCCTAGAGTCTGCCTGTGACTACGATCACAGAGTCTTAATCCATAATACAAAATGAGGTAAAATAGTATCGTTATTTTCCTCGTACTTCCATCTAGCTTGCTATATTGCGACACAATGGCTCACGTGCTCCTCAGCGCTAGCTAACGCTTAGAATGGTAGTGATGATGGTGACGGGAACGACCTAGGACGCTGCACATTACCGCAGCTTCTATAGGGAAATTTACCAGCTTGTTGAACATGTGCAGGCAACGCGATATATTCCGCTAAGATGAATACCGAATGTGGAGTATCAGTTGTGGGGATACGCAAGCCAGCGTGTTCACCCTATGAGAACGTCATAAACAGCATGGTGGAGGACTGTGGAATACGGTTCAACAGATGTGTTAGACGTTTAAGTAGCGGGATAGACACAAAGGAAAAAGTAAAACAACACTTCACATATGGCCAAAATGTAGGCAAGACACCGGTGTGTGCAGAAAAGGGGTTGATCAGATGGGGCTGGAGAACAGAGAGGAGGAACTCACTGTCCACTAACTATGTCTTGCCGAACCTGTAAACACAGGTAATAACGTGTGAGGTCTTCTCGGATCGAATCAATGTCGTACGGGTAGAACTTGACTTGAAATTCGAATTGCCAATCGTTCTCTGAAACGAAATAGAATGAAGATATGATATCACAGTAGTTCAAACGTTAAGTACAGTGGTCAAAAAAGATGTGCCGGATCAGGCAGAGAACGACGAAAAACGTGGGTGCATGAATGCAGTGGCATGGTTGGTTTAACGAGGATGTGATACACCAGTTGGGTCACCGTAATGGACAGATTAAGCATACCAGCTAGGTCAAACTATCTACTCGGGGCTGAGAGAAGAACTCCTAACTGTGGATTAGTCAAATGTTGCAGTTAGTACACTTTAAATGCTTCCTTTCTATGTATTTGAACTAAGAAATAATACTTTGTACATCCGGCGCCGGGTATTTTGATACATTATATTCCAAGTTATCCTGGCCCACAGTTCCTAGCGGAATGGGTCGCATCATCATCATCATCAACAGCAGTACATCAGCCATTTGAACTGATGCTTCGCTGCCATACAACCATGAGGACCTATGAAATAAAGAATAAGAAGAGGGAGAGAAGGGGGACTTACCTGAAAACCTTAATGCCCTAAGCAGACATTCAATCTCAAGGCGCCTACACCTTGTGTAGACAACATACCGTCACAAACAGCTGACTATCGTGCAAAGATAAGGCGGCATCAACGAGACAGCTTCCTTGCGGCTTTCACTGCTCTGCGTCATAATCAGCCATTGCCCCGCAGGTAACTCAGCACCAAATACACTTTAAACAGGCAATCCGATTAGGAGACGGCAGCAGACGCGCCACTGGTGTCGGTTGCGAGCCATGTCCTGTAAAGTCCCGAGCCAAGCACAAGGTGAGTCACGTGGACTCCAACCGAGAAGGCGAGACGGACCAACGGCATCCAGTTTGGTCGTCAGTGACTTCATTGCCCGCTGCCAAGTCAACTTCTGTCCACCTCGAGCCTTGCGCCATCCGACACCTGGTAGACTGAACAAGGCCCTCCTAGGTAAGCGGTGACTAGGCATACGTAGCACGTGCCCGAGTCAACGCAACTTATTCAGTGCTATCTGTTGTTCTAGGGTGCTAGCATGATTACCACTACCTAGTACTCGCCTACGCACATCATCGTTGCGGACACGCTGGTGCCATCCGACACCAGCAATGCTTCGCAGACAACGATGATCAAATACTTGAAGGCGCCTCAGATCATCAGAACGAAGGGACCAAGTTCCACTGCCATAGAGCAAGACGGCCCTCACTGTGGTCTTGTATACACGGCATTTCAGACGGATGGAAACCTCCTTCTGTCGCCAAAGATGACGCAGGTTCAAGAAGGAAGCTCTGGTCTTTGCAATGCGTGAGCTGACGTTAGTTTTTATGCCTCCATCGTTGATGATGCAGCTGCCAAGGTAAGTGAATTGATCAACCACCTCGAGCTCCTCGTTAGCAAGCGTCAAGGGGTCATCAAGTGGCTGGTGTTCCTGCAGCAACACTTTGCACTTTGAAGGTGCGAAGTGCATACCAAATAATGGAACCACTCTGGATAGGCTATTCAGGGTTGATTGTGATGCCTCAACATCGTCGAAAAGCAAGACGATATCGTCCGCATAATCAAGATCAACTAACCTTTCACCAGGCAGCACTTCAACGCCTACGTCGTGAGATTCCGCAAGGGAACACTCCATGATAGAATCCACGACGAAATTGAACAAAAACTGGGAAATCGGACAACCCTGACGAACGCCATTTGTAGTCGGAAAGCTATCCGATAGGACACCATAGACCCTGACGCGGCTTGTAGTGTTCGAGTATAGAGCACGAAGGATGTTCACATATTTCGTGGGAACACTTTTCCGCGCAAGTATTTCGAACAGAATCGATCGATCGACCGAATCGAACGCACTCTTGAAATCGAGGAACACAGCTATTGTCGGTCTGCGGTATGCGTGGCGCTGCTCTAGCACCTGCCGCAACGTGAATATATGGTCAACACAGCCACGTTCTGGGCAGAAACCGGCCTGCTCTTCCCTAATCCGAGATTCCCGTTCCGCAGTGAGGCGACGAACGATAATCGAGGCCAGTAATTTTGTCACAACTGGTGGTAGGATAATACCCCTGGATTAGCACAGGCTGTGCGACTGCCCTTCTTATATATTGCCACTATAATCGATTCGCTCCAATTAGCCGGAACACTCACTTCGTTCCAGATACGTTCGAACAGGGAGGTCAGCGCCCTGCAGAGGACCTCACCTCCCTCCTTAAATAGTGCAGGTGGGAGGGAATCCGGGCCAGCGGCACGAAAACGATTGAGGGCAGTGATCGCGTTTCGGACCTCGGCCTCCGACAGAGGCTCTAAACTAACCGTCCATGGCCCGTCTTGCATCACCTGAGTAGGAAGAGGTCCGGGAGAAGAGGGCCAGCTGAACTGATCTTGAAAGTGTTCCGCCCAACGAGCCATAGACGCTCCTTATTGTGTATCAGCGCACCCGCGCTGTCTCTGATTGTCTCACTGACGCCTGGTTTCCTGAGACCAGCAGTGCGGATAACCTGGAAGAGCTTGCGGTAATTGCCTACTGCTCCTGCCTCCTCCATTTCTTGAGCCCGACTGGTCCACCAGGCTTCCTTGTCAGCACGTAGGCTCCGCTTTAGTTCACGCCTAATAGCCCGTCTGGTCACATTGTGTTCAGAACCAGCCGGGAGGTGTCTTCTAGCTTCCAACAGGTTCACGGACCTCTCGGATATCCAGTGACTGGTGCGGTGACGATTGATAGTGCCACAAACAGATGTTCCTACGTCGTGCATAGCGGCCGAGATCCTATTCCACTGAAGTTCAGTGTCATTAGGGCAAGGCAGCGAGAGTTCGCTATGCAGTGCGTCTTGATAGGCTTGCCTGACCGAGGACTAAGACAATTTCTCCGTCGCCAATCGTAGGGGACCCTTTGTGCGCCTTCCGCTAAAGTTCATGGAGAAACGACAGCGCACCAAGGCATGATCAGAGTCGACACAGGTACTCCAGTACGAGCGGCAATCCAGCATGGAACCACGCCATCTGTAACTTATGGCTATGTGGTCAATTTGGGTCCATCGCTGGTCAGCTACAGGAGGACGCCAAGTGGCACTTCGGCGCCCACTGTGTCTAAAAGCAGTGCTACGAAGAAACAACTGGTGCTCCGCACACAGTTGCAGCAGACGCTCGCCGTTGTCAGTCCGTTCGGAGTTAAGTCCATAATTACCACCAAGCTGAGCTTCTGAAGAGCTCAGACGCCCTACTTGTGCGTTCATATCCCCTGCAAGTACTATAATATCTGAACTAGTAGCACTGCGTAGTAGCGCATTCAGTTCGTGATAGAAAGTGTCCTTGACTGCATTAGAACTGCAGTCGGTGGGAGCGTAAGCATAAATCACAAACAAACAGCGTTTTGTACTCCTTCGTGAATCAACCTTAGCTGATGTCGTCAAACGGGCTGCACATAAACGGCTGTTCACCGGAATCCAATCAACCAACGATGGCTCAGCCTTGGAGCTGAGAATGATACCTACACCAGCTTGACCCGTGAGTGCTGCATCGGCATCTCCGGATGCGTACAATCAATAACGAGAGGATAAGCCGGGTGCAGTCAATTCAATAACCCCGTTTGGATCATTAATCCTAGTTTCGGACACACAACACACATCAATACCCAGTGTGTCCAAGGTGCGTGCGAGTGCAGCCTGTTGACCTGTTTGTCTCAGATTGCGAACGTTGAATGTCGCCATGGAAACGGGACAGCGTGGCCTTATAAGGGACTTTTGCCGATGGGCGTCCGATAGGTGCGGTTGGATGGTGGCTGCAGATGGTACTACTCCAGTAGCACTTCGGTTGCTGTCAATTAAGCTGGGAATTATAGAAGGAAGGTTAGTAATGGGGGTCGGGATGGGAGTAAGAGAAAACGGTGGAAAAGAAAGAAGGGAGGCGCCAGCGGTAGCATGTTTTCGCTTATGCACCCTGCTGTATGCAGAAGATAAGGCGACCCTTGATAATCTGCGCGACGGCCGATGCAGGATGAAGTTAATGTTTGAAGAAAATGTCATGGTTGTATGTGGGCTGAGATACAGCCAGGACGCCCAGACCTCGACAGGAGGACGATTAGGGTCCTCATCCAAAGCCTTTGGCTCAAAAGCCTGTCCGCAAGGCAGCGGGGTGGCAGTGATTTAGTTTTACAGAAATGGACGCCATCCCATTTCAAACCCCCAACCTGGAGGACCAGGAGACTGAGTTTGTCTGACCTCTTACCATTGACCAACCTGGTAGGAGTAGCTCTCAAGATGCTCGGAGGCATCACCCAGCATAGCTCAATGGGTCAATGAGGTACGCAAACCGTCGCACCACGTTAAGGTCCAGTCTCGTTGCGACGGACATGGGTCGTAAGTCAAGAAGGATGTCTTTTTATGCCCACATTCTATGAGTTTATTTTCAAACTCGTAATTTCATGCGTTATCCCTCGGTCACAATGTTCTAGGGTTATTTTTCATGGCTTTCTCCATAAAGAGTACACTATGGCTGTATGGTCAATAAGCATAACTTCAGATGCGGTGGAGCATAGAGGAAGTGCCTAGCTGCCCTTCTTGACAGTAAGCAATTCAATGCATAAATTACCTTCGAATGGCCCTTCGAATGCAACGCATGATGATCCGTCGGAACCTATAGCTGATTCCTATACACGGGCAGGACTTAAAGTACCGCTTTCTTGCATTGTAGCATACAATAACTACGAACCATCTGCTAAGGTTACTCCTTGCTCCGACGAAAACCATCGATGTGATGCGGTATTAGAGTAATATACGCACACATTTTTTCGCGTATATAAATCATACATATTCGATCCCACAGGCTAAAACATCCGCAGTGGATAGTCCAAAATACTCCAATCTGAGTAGATAAAGTTTATCACGGATTGACTAACACACGTGTCAAAGGTATCTGCGCGTTAAACACCATGCCGAAGTGCTAGACGTGGGTGGAGTATCTCAAATGCACAACGAGCTCCCAAAAAGAGCGGCGCGACAAGGAATAAGGTGCCTCATTAGGGCGAGTGAATTCTCGCAACACGAGCATCCACGAAGAGTACGGATCCGATATGGTGTCGATCTGAAAGAACAAATGCACAGAAATGGAAGTTGCATAGCAACGAAATTCATGGCCGAGGAAAAAAGTGTGACTCACTCCCCAATTGCTTGGCAATTTTCTGATGCAGGTTTAACCAAAACTGGAAGGTAAGATGGAGCGCGATGCAAATATCAGTTGTTACGCGAACACGGCATGGCTAAACACGAGAGCGTGTCGGATAATGCATGATAAAAAAGGTGGTGATTGAAAAGGTCAGTAAAGCAATGGTCCTATGGAATCGATAAAAGGAGAAACATGGTTAAACAAAGTAAAATTAATCCGAGCAAAAGTTAAAAAAACATGGATATTTGTGCAACATACCGGTTATCAAGCAGACTACTCAGTTGGACCGTGCCATGCACTGTCGAGGAATACGCTGTTTAGGTATTTACTTGCTATTTTTTAAACGAGAAGCGCACTACCAAGTATGAAACGGACGAGCGAAAAACAGTAATATGACACAGTTATTGTGATTGTAAGAAGAGACAGGAGAAGCAAGACCGGTGCGACTAAAGACTATGAAAGACCGTAGGGGCATCACAAGTGACTGTAGAGTGACACGAGAACTGCGACCGGAAAACGGTACACAGCCGTAGACGACATTGCGGAGATGCGTGACAGTGCAACGAAATAGTAACGAATCGAGGAAGGAGTGGATAAGATGTTGGGATGAGTTGGGGGAATACGGCAGTTGCGGGGCCAACCGACAGGAAATGCGAGCAACAGGGGAAAATGCGAAAATTCGACATGACTCAAGAAAGATGAGAAAGCGGAGTTCGACATGGAAATATCTTTGCGAAACAAACCAAAAGACCTTAACATCATGTTAATAAAATATGCGTGAAAAAAGCGTGTGAGATACATGGCGCCGAGATTAGAACCGATGTCCAAGGATGTGTCACAGCCATCGCCAAAAGAAATGACCGGCTACCGGGGATTGAGTAGAGAAGTGTAGGAGAATCACTCACCAGATTATTGGCTGTGTCGTAAAATGTAATTCCAAAGTATTCCACCTCCAGAAGGCCAAGATGTGCACACACAGACTCGAATAATTGTTGACCGTAGGCAGCTCGCTGCGTTCGAAAGATGAAAAAGATGACAGTTAGAGGGCCGAAAAGGAGTTTCAACAGACATGGAAAAATGTCAATGGCAGCATTGAGAAAAATTCCTCCCAAAGCACACAAAACGGAAATTCTGGAGAGTAATGTATGCAGTACGGTTAAAGTTGATGTACCGACTGACATTAAAATAAAAGAGAAAAATGCGCGAGATAAACAATACGCAGAGGATAGAAAGGACTGCGCAAATCAAATAAGGTGGATTAGGTCAGGTTTAATGTAAAGCGGAAAGAGCTAAGTGTAGGTCACTTTAATCCAACTGCTGTGAAGCATGATAAAGGCGACATATATGGTTGGTCGAATCCAGTTCCGGATTCGCCTGTCAATGCGGCCTCCACAGGGACAGCCATAGGACGCCTGTGCATAGAGGGACCATTGGGTGGCCTGCGCTGCACCATACACAGCTTCATTCACACACCGCATATCGGCAAATACAGCAGATGCTTCACATACTTCTTATGTGGAATCTGGAGCTACGAAATCACGATTCCACTTTAGTGTGCTATGCAAAAAATAAAGCTCCAATGATGCGGACGATGTAAACCGGTCAGACAGACAAAGTGTGCCAATGTGGTAGTGGTGAAAATTAAAGTTATAAGAAGCATAGTACTTACGTCGATCCGAAACTCTCTAGCCGTGCCGTCTAACATGACGACGGTACAATCGACCGTTTTCCCAGATGGTTTAAAATCCAAAAGTGAAGCATTTGTACGGCCACGGAACGTACTGCCAGTAGAGAGCGCATTAGTCCCTGACGGTTTGTTTGGTCCACAAGCAGTAAATGTACCACCTCCAGCTGCTGCAGAAGTACCGTTTACTGGTCCCAGAGCTGAACCACTGGATATGCTACCCATCCGCTGCGTGGTACCGGCGTTAGAGATTGTAGTATTGAATCTCCGTAAGCTTAGATAGTAGTCTTTCTTGGGAAGCCGATCAGTCACCTCAATCGTACCATCCTGTAACTGATTCCACTGATGACCTTCAATCGGTGCGAGATTAATTGATTCCAAAGTCGCCTCCCCATCTGACAAGTATCCACTGGCCACAACGGGCTCCATGGCATACTGCATTTTATACTAAAGTGGAGGAAAAGAGCAATCAAATAGGATCACGATAGTAAATCGCACGACAGAAAGTAACACATCATAACACAGTATATGAGCGAAAAATTAGCCGTAAATTCATGAAGATGTAGGCCATTTAGTTAGCTGTGATCCTAGGAGTTTGCACAAATCATCCGCTACAATGTGACTGCGGGCAGTTACAAATCAGCTTGGACACTGTCAAGGAGTCCAAATCTAGTAAATGAGGTGGATCGAGTTACTGTAGTCCGAGCCGCCATAAAAGGAAAAATAGCAGACGGGAGTAAGAGTGAAATTTTCAATCGAAAATCCAACGAGAAAATCAACAAGGAAGAGGTAAGAGTCTGTATTAATGAGTCCACGATAGAGTAAGGTCAAATTATATATCAAATCACTGAGTTGGCAAATTCCGAAACACTAAACTTTTCCCTGACGTTTTCATAATCTAAAGACAGTCATCTACAGGTAAACCGCTGTAGAGTCAGAAAGGGAAAACCGTAAGAAACATTAACACAGACGAAAGAGAGATGTGGACAGATGACACTTTCTGACCACTGATTCAAAAAGACAGGTTGTTTTTGTGCATGATGATGCGGTCTTCATCATCATCCTACAAGTTAAATAGAGGTAAGAAGCACCTCAGCTATTTCACCTCATAATAAACTTGCAGGACCACAAACATCTTTGGATCTTATGACCTTGGTAATGAGACAGGAACACAGAGTAGCGACGTACAGCGATGGTTTGTGTGCTCTTCCAATAAATCGGGATAGGTTGAGTGGCATCAGTCAAGTGCGTTCAGATCCAATCATGACTGGTAAGTCAGTTGAAGGATGACATTTATATTCAGCATCATCATGACAGATCGAGGATAGATGAGTGGCCACTTTCTTATGACACCCAACCAAGGAGGGTTTAAAGATCAGTTCAACTGGCATGGATCTTGATCACAGCTCTTGGGCACTGGTCTGCCATTACTCGTCTCAAGCCAGACAGTAATACGGTTGGGTTGAATACTGAAAATAGTGAGCGTCTGTGTTGTTCCATCGTAATCAGTTCGGGCACATGCACGGATTCACGTCACTGAAGTCTGAGTGTCTGTTGCTATTACAGCTGCGCCTCATGATATTCGGGCGCGATGCGTTCCCTGTATCTGATATTCGAAAAGTGGATGTCCAGGAATTGCTTGAATTTTGACACCGATCTCGCTTCGACAATTGTCGCAGGTAAACTGTTCCAATATTTCACCACTCGGCGTTCGAAGCATAGTGGGTGAGCTATCCGCTTTATGTCCAGCACCTGCGGCACAGTAGCTGTTTTCACTTTCAGCTAACGTGTATAATGAATGAGCTCCGGTACCACTAGCTTGTAGCGATGCCCATGAGTGTTGGTTTGTGCGTGCACGTGAAGCAGTGGCCTCAGCATGGGGAAGTGACCCAGATGCAATATCCGATGCGTCATAAGGTGATAAAATCTAAACCGACGATAAGACAGGCTTTATAGCCCTACTCGTCTGCATCGGTCTTCGTACGGTATACCCCGTAAACTGGGGATGAGGCTGGCAGTCGTATGTTAAACACGTTCCAGTCTTTACAGCTCGGCAAGGGTGATCGGACAATAGGCGGGCGACCCGTACTCGAGCATTGGTCTTATGATGGAAGAGAAGAGGCGTGTGACAATACCTTCAGACCAAATGCAGAAGCTGCGTTTGAGCGCCAAAAGCAAGCAGTCCGTTTCCATATAACTTGGTGTTGTCTAGGGACTTTAGATCGCAGCGTGAGAGTACTCCGAGATCCTTCACGGAATGTCTGTGATGTAACGGCTGGCCAGCCAGCGTGCACATACCCCATTAACACGCGTACTTAAGCGCGGCGCATCCAGTTACCACGATTCACGTCACAAATTAACAATAAATAACAACGGTAAGAAAACGAGGTTAGGTACGAATAAAATGTAGGCGAGAAAGAAATGTGTCAGCCTAATCGCAATGGAATTAAAGTTAACAGCTAGATACAAGAAATTGAATGCAGGAGCGCCAATGACTGCGCGACTGCACTATGTTCGATAGGGTCTCCAACCACTGATGTAGACTGGGGGTGTTCAAACTTTTCGCAAGGAGGGCCAGATTTTGTGAGGTAAAAAGATGTCGGGCGACATTCAGTCTGATAGTAAAATAATGATAAAAATAACACAGGTCATAAGGATTTTCTTACAAATTTTTAGTGTAAAGAGTGAAACTGAGAACTTGAGATCTTTATTTTTGATTTAGTTAAGACTCCTTTAATAGAGGCACTATACTGACTTTTCCTAATTAGTTAAAAATAAACATTACATCATTGATTTTTGCCAGCATCTGACGACATAGAGTTTTGTATTCATAACACCCTTAAGTTTTGTAATTTATATAATATCGTTTATACGAAAAAAGCAAAGCTTGAATTTAGTGTTTCATGATGAGGCCGCGGGCCAGTTGGAATGTTAACGCGGGCAGCATTTGGCTAGGGGGACGGACATCCTTGCTGTAGACCAGCACGAGTCCACCATCCAAGAAAATGACACACGCTAACCTGACAAAGTTTCTCAGTCAATTTCTTTATGCCTTTATACCACGTCATCGACTGGCCACGTGTGGTCTCGCCCGACTTTTTGCTACGACGGCGTATAATGCACCCCGAGGAAGGCAGTCAACATGCATGCGAAAGACATGACCTAGCCAACGTAATCGGTTGAACCACGGTAAACACTCGAGTGAGACCAGAACACTTCTTGCCGAAAACCAACTGGCGGACTACAGCATAGGTCACTCAGCGTTCTCATAAGATGTGAGCCACACTCCGCAAGCACCCGTGATCAAATAAAGCCAAGCGATTAATGTCTTCACTGTGAATTGGCCAAGTCTTTCAGCCACACCGGCCTTGTCACAATGTTATATACTCTACCTTTCGCTGACAGGCTAATAATTCCGTCCTAACAAGGAATCCGGCTGTTAAGGGAGCCAATTTATAGAAACTTCCCAAGCGTAGCCTCGACGGAAGCCAGGATCAATCCAGCTCCAAGCTCATTGGACAGGGACCAACAAATGAGAGTGCTCCTTGCGCTGAGGATTAAAACAGGCAAAGCGAACGCGCTTTCACGCATTCGGCATTTGCTGGCAGTTCGGAATCTTTCTGTGATTACTATCGAACTAGACGTTCTGAGATGTTTTTAAAGTCAACAACACGTTTTACAGAGCTCAAGTAAAGGCTTTGGTGAGGCCGTTGCCTTCTAGTTTGGGAAGTGGTTGGTCCGTGATCCGATTAGCTGCAACCGAGTAGCAGCAAACGAAATGCCACTGGAGTAGAACCGTCTGCAGCCACCATCCAACCGCACCTATCGGACGCCCATCGGCAAAAGTCCCTTATAAGGCCACGCTGTCCCGTTTCCATGGCGACATTCAACGTTCGCAATCTGAGACAAACAGGTCAACAGGCTGCACTCGCACGCACCTTGGACACACTGGGTATTGATGTGTGTTGTGTGTCCGAAACTAGGATTAATGATCCAAACGGGGTTATTGAATTGACTGCACCCGGCTTATCCTCTCGTTATTGGTTGCACACATCCGGAGATGCCGATGCAGCACTCACGGGTCAAGCTGGTGTAGGTATCATTCTAAGCTCCAAGGCTGAGCCATCGTTGGTTGATTGGATTCCGGTGAACAGCCGTTTATGTGCAGCCCGTTTGACGACATCAGCTAAGGTTGATTCACGAAGCAGTACAAAACGCTATTTAATTGTGATTTCTGCTTACGCTCCCACCGACTGCAGTTCAAATGCTGCCAAGGACAGATTCTAGCACGAACTGAATGCGCTACTACGCAGTGCTACTAGTTCAGATATTATAGTACTTGCAGGGGATATGAACGCACAAGTAGGGCGTCTGGGCTCTTCAGAAGCTCAGCTTGGTGGTAATTATGGACTTAACTCCGAACGGACTGACAATGGCGAGCGTCTGCTGCAACTGTGTGCGGAGCACCAGTTGTTTCTTCGTAGCACTGCTTTTAGACACAGTGGGCGCCGAAGTGCCACTTGGCGTCCTCCTGTAGCTGACCAGCGATGGACCCAAATTGACCACATAGCCATAAGTTACAGATGGCGTGGTTCCATGCTGGATTGCCGCTCGTACGGGAGTACCTGTGTCGACTCTGATCATGCCTTGGTACGTTGTCGTTTCTCCATGAACTTTAGCGGAAGGCGCACAAAGGGTCCCCTACGATTGGCGACGGAGAAATTGTCTTAGTCCTCGGTCAGACAAGCCTATCAAGACGCACTGCATAGCAACTCTCGCTGTCTTGTCCTAATGAAACTGAGCTTCATGCACGACGCAGAAGCATTTGCTTGTGGCCCTATCAGTCGTCACCGCACCAGGCACTGGATATCCGAGAGGTCCGTGAACCTGTTGGAAGCTAGAAGACACCTCCCGGCTGGTTCTGAACACAATGTGACCAGACGGGCTATTAGGCGTGAACTAAAGCGGAGCCTACGTGCTGACAAGGAAGCCTGGTGGACCAGTCGGGCTCAAGAAATGGAGGAGGCAGGAGCAGTAGGCAATTACCGCAAGCTCTTCCAGGTTATCCGCACTGCTGGTCCCAGGAAACCAGGCGTCAGTGAGACAATCAGAGACAACGCGGGTGCGCTGATACACAATAAGGAGCGTCTATGGCTCGTTGGGCGGAACACTTTCAAGATCAGTTCAACTGGCCTCCTGCTCCCGGAACTCTTCCTACTCGGTTGATGCAGGACGAGCCATGGACGGTTAGTTTACAGCCTCCGTCGGAGGCTGAGATCTGAAATAAGATCACAGCCCTCAATCGTTTTCGTGCCGCTGGACTGGATTCCCTCCCGCCTGCACTATTTAAGGACCGGCCGGTGGCCCAGTGGTCTGCACGTTTGCTTTGCAATCACAAGGTCACCGCTGCGAATCCGTGTAGGGGTGGCGTCCTCGCAGTATACTCA